CTGGCAGTCAGCACAGAGCCCGATGCAGGACTCGAACCCACGAACCACAAGATCATGACCTGAGTCGAAGTCAGACGCTCAACCAACTGAGCCACCCCGGTGCCTCTAAAAAAAATTTTTTTAAACAATAGCTAAAAATCAGACAAAAAGGAAAAGAAGGGTTAAGTAGGCTCTCCTCAAGGTCAAATTGGGCTTATATGTTAATGATGTTCAAAGGCAGTTCAATTACATTTAAAAAATAGATTTACTCCTTCTCTTTTTGTGATGATAATTTATTTCTTAAAAAAAGAGCAGAGGGGCGCCTGGGTGGCTCAGTTGGTTAAGCATCCGACTTCTAGGCTCAAGTCATGAACTCACAGTTGGTAAGTTCTAGCCCTGTGTCGGGCTCTGTGCCGACAGCTCAGAGCCTGGAGCCTGCCCTGGATTCTGTGTCCCTCTGTCTCTCTGCCCCTTCCCCGCTCACACTCTGTCTCTCTCCATCTCAAAAATAAATAAACATTAAAAAAATTTTTTTTAAATAAGAAAAAGCAGAGGCAAAAACATTCATACACATGACCATTTGGAAATTTTCCTGTGATTAAGGTTAATACTGTTTAAAAAAAAAGCCTTTTTTTTTTTTTTTTTACCTTTCCTGTTGCTAGAACAGCAAAAACTAGTGAAAGTGCTAGACCAGCACTCACCAATAAAAATAAAAATATTTAAAGCTTTGGGGTTGTTTTGTTCTGTTTTGTTTTTTTAGAGAGAGAGGGTGCAAGCAAGGGAGGGGGCAGAGAGAAAGAGAGAAGCAGGACTCACCCTAAGAGGAGGGGCTCATGTTTTTAACTAAAAGTGTGGCTCAAGCTCACCCAAAGCAGGGCTCGAGCTCATGAATCGTAAGATCGTGACCTGAGCCGAAGTCAGATGCTTAACCAGCTGAACCACGCAGGCGCTCAATATTTTAAAGTTTTTAGTTGCCACATTCAAAAGAGCAAAAGGAAACAGGAGAAATTAATTTTGACATTATATTTTATGTAGCTTAATAAATCCAAAATGTTATTTCATAGCTGAAAAGGCTCTAAAGAAACACAAGGAAAGAATGCAGCACAGGTAGATCAAAATGTTAAAGAGCAGTGGAGCTGAAGGTAGAAGTCGCTATGATTCACCACGGAGGCCTGTGGCAATGCGGCAGCCAGGTCCCTACGACAGACCTGGAGCTGGCAGAAGCTGTGACTGCACTGGCAAGGAGCTGGCTCTGACCGGATGAGGCCAGGGGCTTACGGTGGAGGCTACGGAGGCTGTGATGCTTATCATGTCTATAATGACGGCTATGGATTCAGGTCAGATGGATTTGGAAGAGACCTCCATTATTGTTTCTCAGGAATGCCTGATCACAGATAATGGGGGGGGGGGGGGGGGGTCTACCTTCCAGAGCACAATGGGACATTGTGTACACATGCGGGAATTATCTTACACAGCTACTGAGAATGACATTTCTAATTGTTTTTCACTGCTCAACCCTGTGAGAGTACCTACTGAAATGGGTTCTGATGGCAGAGTCGCTGGTGAAGCCGGTGTCGAGTTTGTAACTCACGAAGATGCCGCAGCAGCTTCGTTAAAAGACAAAGCAAATATGCAACACAGATATGTAGAACTCTTCTTGAATTCTACAGCAGGAACAGACGGTGGGGGCTGATGGTTGCCAAATGATGGGAGGCACAGACTTGTCAAACCAGTCCAGTTATGGTGGCCCGGCCAGTCAGCAGCCAAGTGGTGGTTGTGGGGGTGGCCATGGTGGCCAGAGCAGCATGAGTGGATATGACCAAGTTTTATGGGAAAACTCCAGTGATTTCCAAGCAAGCATTGCACAGGCAGCCAAGGGGCAGCGAACAGCAGCTACTACCGTATTGGAAGCTGGGCATCTCTGGGAGTGAACAAAATGGGAGGGATGCGTAGCATGTCCAGTATTAAGTGATGGAGGGGGAATGTAATTTATCCTGATCACTGACTCATGGTCAACATTTTTCTTTTTCTTTTGTTTTTCATGTTTATTTATTTTTGAAAGAGAGAGAGCGTGAGCAGGGGAGGGGCAGAGAGAGAGGGGGACAGAGGATCCAAAGCGGGCTCTTGGATGGACAGCAGTGAGCCTGATGCAGGCTTGAACCCACAAGCCATGAGATCATGACCTGAGCTGAAGCCTTATGCTAAACTGACTAAGCCACCCAGGTGCCCCTTGGTCAGCATTTTTCAAAGAAAAAAAGTGTTTCAGCTTTGTAATACAAGCTTGTGATTTATGCCTGCTCTAAGTGGAAATCAGGATTGTTTTAAAGACTTAACATTCAGTATTTTTGAGCACATTCATCTAGGATGTAAAAACTGAGTAAAGTATAGCTGTTAAACGATTTTCAGCTTTTGTCTAGTTATATTGTAGGATGTACTTAAGCAGTAAGTGTACTTAGGTTAAGGCAGTTGAATTATGGTAAATGTCACTCTTACATAAACCACATGACACTGAACACTGTTCCGATGCATGTTGAAACATGCTTTTTTGTAAAAATCAGTATAGGAGCTGTGTCTACAATTAAAACTGAAAACATCTGGCATGTTTGTTAGTTCTAGTTTCATTTAATAACCTCTAAGGCATGTAAGTTTAAGCTTTTTTTTTTTAAGTTAATGGTGAAAAATTGAGCTGTAATACTTCAGGATTTGGGTCTTGGTGGGAATTTTTTTGCTTTTTTTTTTTAAGTTTATTTTCAGAGAGAAACTTGTCTAATAAATCTTCTTTTATTTATTTATTTTTTTAAATGTTTTTATTTATTTTGAGGACAGAGAGAGACAGAGCGTGAGGCGGGAGAGGCAGGCCATGACCTGAGCCGAGGTTGGAAACTTAACCGACTGAGCCCCAGTATTAAATATGTTTTAAAAGAAGCCAACCTAGTTATGCAGGTATGTTCAGTTTATACAACTTCATCAAGCTATATTCCTATGATATGTGCACAGTTCTGTGTGTTTGTGTGATACTCCAATTTTAAAAAATTCTAAAGGAAGCACCCTTTTTTTTCCCTCATAAATTGTGAAGGAAGAAATAGCAAGGGAGAGAAACTTTTGCATAGCACACTGATGCATTCATATGAAGTTTAACATACTCAGTAGGATACTACTAAAGTAGTACAATTTATGGTTAATAAATGATAGCACAAGTTTATCAGCTCTGTTAACAAAATGGATCTTGCAGATAGCACATGTATCTGCTGACATTGACAATGATGACAGTAATAACAGCTCACATGTTTATGAACACTTCCTGAATGTCAGACATGCCAAGTGCTTTATATAATTGCACTGAATCCTCCCAACAACCCTGTTAATATCGTCTGGGTTGTATTACAATATTACATTATTATCATGTTATAGATGAGTACGTGGAAGCTTTGAGAAGTAATTTGCCACAAGTCACACAGGCACCTTAATAATGGACAGTAATTTTTGAGTACGTACTATAGATCTGACACCATTCTAAACACTAAGTGTATTGACTTATTTAAGCCTCAAAACATTATCCCCCATTTAGCAGATGAGTAAACTGAGGCACACAGAAGCCCACTTGTCCAAGGTCGTCGAGCTGGTAAGTGGCGCCGCTTGGCTATGAACCCAAGCCATCTGGCTCCAGATTCTTAACCACTGAGCGATATACCACTTGGAAGTCACAACAGAAATCTGAACTTGTGCAGGCGGTCCATAGGAACTAAACTGTTCATTATTCTGCTGTCCTGCCTAGCAATTGGGTCACCTGACATTCAGATAAGGAGTACATGCACGTTCCCATTCATTGAGAGGAAGGGAAACAGTAAACAAATAACAAGTTCAAATACTATGTTCTTTCTTTAAGCAGCTAATCCTCACTTCTCACTTCCAGATTGCCTCCACCATCAGATTTCCCTAACTCAGTCTCTCTCTACTTCCAGAGCACTTTGGAAATACAGATGACCTTTGAACAACATGGGTTTGGACTGTGTGGGTTCACTTATACATGGACTTTTAAAATAAATACAGTATTGTTAACAGATTTTCTCTTCCTTGTGATTTTCTTAGTAACAGTTTCTTTTCTCTAGCTTACTTTATTATAAGAATATGGTACTGGGGCACCTGGGTGGCTTAGTCGGTTAAGCGTCCGACTTTTGCTTAGGTCATGATCTCGTGGTTCGTGGGTTCGAGCCCTGCGTCGGGCTCTGTGCTGACTGCCAGCTCAGAGCCTGGAGCCTGTTTCAGAGTCTGTGACTCCCTCTCTCTCTGACCCTCCCCTGCTCATGCTGTCTCTCTCTTTCTCTCTCTAAAAAAAAAATGTATATTAAAAAAAAAAAAGACTAAGGTCATGATCTCGTGGTTCGTGGGTTCGAGCCCTGCGTCGGGCTCTGTGCTGACTGCCAGCTCAGAGCCTGGAGCCTGTTTCAGAGTCTGTGACTCCCTCTCTCTCTGACCCTCCCCTGCTCATGCTGTCTCTCTCTTTCTCTCTCTAAAAAAAAAAAAAAAAAAAAAAAAAGAATATGGTACATAATACACATACAAAGTAAAGTATGTGCTCATTGCCAGTGTATGTTATTGGTAAGGCTTCTAGTCAACAGTAGGCTGTTTGGGGGAGTCAAAGCTATACATGGATATACAGGGATATTTTTGACTGGGGGTGAGGGGAGAAGTCAACGTCATTAATCCCCAAGTTGTTCAAGGGTCAACTGTACTCAAGTAGCACTCACCAGAATGCATGGTGTAACTGATTTCTCTCCACATGCAGGTTGCTGCACACCGATCCCAGGAGTACTCACCGCGTTTAATGCTGATCTTGCCCAGTGATCTGGGACCACCAAGGCAGGGACCATCCATGTCATTCCCTGCTGTAATCCCACCTCCCAGCACAGTGTCTAGCACATAGGAAGCCATCTATATGTATGTGTTGAATGAATGAAGAGTAGATGCTTAATAACCCAGAAGGATATAAATTTATAAAAAAAAAAAAATTCCGTGCTTGCCTCAATAACGCATATTTGGGGCTCTTCCTTATGGCCATCCACGGGCACCATAGCTTGATTCATAACCCACTCCTGGACAGCATCAGTAATGTGAGGGACAACTGCAGAAAGAAGGAGTAATTAGCACAAAAGCTTATTTCATGGTCAGGAGGAAGGAACGTATTCGTGTCTTTAGACCTCCCAAAAGACCTGAAAGCCACTTGGCAAATGAGACAAACTACATTTCTCATGTGATTATCCACCTCACTTGAAAATATTATGGGCACAATATAAGTTTAATCACTTAAATGTTCTGTCATTTCTAGTGAGACTGACCAACCACGGAGAGCAAGAAACAGAGAGCAGAAATGCCATGTTCATTTCAACTAGAAACACCCATAATGCCAACTAGAAACTGCAAGGAGGGCTGTCAAGGGTACTGTGTGCCGGACCCCACAGGGAAGAAAGACGCACAGTGGTCTGGCCCCACAACCCACCAGCCAGTGGGGAGGGGTCTTCTCCGGGTATAGACGAGACCCTCATGTTGACCAGGGACCTGTGGTTGCTCACATCAGCTGAAGAGGCCAGAAGGTGACAACCCAGCAAGGATTTAAGGCCCAGAGGTCCCTTGGGTGGGGAGCAGGCCTGCAGCTACCGAAGAGACAGAAAGGCGACATCCTTGCGGGTACAGCCAACTAACCTAATGGGCTTCACGAAGCAGGAAAGTCGCCCACTGGGAAGCTGAGGCGAGAAAGCTCTACCTCCCACTTGCTGCTTCCTCGAGGGGGCAGGAAGTCATCACCGACTGGTGCATCTGGAACAACCCACGTTACATGCAGCAACTCTCCCTCCCGTGGGTCCTCCAAGATCTACCCTCGGGGGGAAACTTAGAAAGCACAAGCGCAGCTGAGATCTAAGCCACACCATCCAGTTTCAGTAATAACACAGCTGATCTTTTGATCTACAGCCGTCCAACCTCCATGTCCACTTCTCAGCCGGTTCCAACGTGTAAGTGATTTCAAGGAGTTGGGGGATAGCACCTTTACCATGTGGGAACGTATGAATACAAAACTTGGTGGGGATGGAGGGCAGAGAAGGGAGGACAGGGGGTCTCTCTTAAGGCAAAAGAGAATCTTACCACTCAGGAAGAGGGTTGGTGAAAAAGGCTCAGACCATACTACCAGCCACTCCAGTTCAATCCCCCAGTCCGTCCCCCAAAGAGGAGTAGGTATGATCCATGCAAAGATACAAGAAAAAGGGAGACAGACAAAATAAAAACAATCCGAAAAAACCTGCACCTCAATTAGGTAAAAGTGATGACTACGGTTCTCCATGGGTTTTATACATAAAAGCTAAAGACAGATATATGGACCAGGGAAAATAATGCCATTAGTAATACACCTAAAGACTGATAAAAATACAATCAAGAGGGGGGAGGAGGGGATGGGCATGGAGGAGGACACTTGTGGGGATGAGCACTAAGTGTTATGTGGAAATAAAAAAAAAAATACAATCAAGAGCATGGAGGGTGAAGTGGACACCTCTGAATAAAACAAAGAGGGAAAAAAAACAAAAAATAAAAATAAAACAAAGGAGAAAAGAAAGCAGGGATAGGAAAAGGATTAGAACGTGTAGAGTTCAGGGACCTCCTCCTCTTCACATCTATTTTGAGCAGTGTGTGGGTGCTCAGCGCACAGGACTTGTTAAGCTTTAGGGAAAAGAGTACCTTGTACTGTTTTCCCCAGGTAATCGCCACGTCTCTCCTTATTGATCACATGCTGATAGATCTTCCCAGTGGTGATGTTGTTGTCTCTATAAAGGTTAATATCCAAGAACCGTTCGTAATTTCCAAGGTCTAAATCAACTTCTCCACCATCATTTAAGACAAATACTTCACCTAAGATTAAAAAAAAAAAAAAGACAATGTAAATATTAAAAATCTTTCAGGGCACTGGGCCAGCTCAGTTGGTGGAGCATGAGACTCTTGGTCTCGGGGTGCTAAGTTCGAGCCCCACATTAGGTAAATAGCAATTTATTTCAAAGCATGAGTGTCGTGGACTCTGGAAGTGGCATAAAAACATCTTAATTCCCATCTCAGGAATCTTAAGCCACAATTAAACAGACAATACATGAAAAGTAGGGCCCCAGCAGGCCGACAGGGCAACTTAGTTTAAGGGGGACAAAAAAGCCAGGCTGCACAACAGCACCTGAAAAAGACAGAGATAAAGACTTCATCACACAAGGACGATTGTGCTGATGATTGTGCATGTCTCTGGGTCTCTGCTGTGGCTTGAGGGCATCAATTGGGAGTCCAGTGTTCAAAAACCACTTTATAAGAATTGAACCTCTCCCTTGGGGCGCCTGGGTGGCTCAGTCGGTTGAGCGTCCAACTTCAGCTCAGGTCATGATCTCACGGTTCGTGGGTTCGAGCCCCGCATCGGGCTCTGCTGACAGCCAGCTCAGAGCCTGGAGCCTGTTTCAGATTCTGTACCTCCCTCTCTCTCTGACCCTCCCCTGTTCACGCTGTCTGTCTCTCTCTCAGAAATAAATAAATAAAACATTAAAAAAATTAAAAAAAAAAAAAAAGAATTGAACCTCTCCCTGATCAAGGCAATTCTATCATTTACTCCCATTTCAAGATGTTCACAGCGAAAAAGAAGGTTGGTTAGCTTATAAACCGAATCAGAAACCTTTTTTTAAAAATGTATCTATTTATTTTGAGAGAGAGAGATAGCGTACAAACAGAGGAGTAGCAGAGAGAGGAAGAGAGAGAATCCCAAGCGCTGACAGTGCAGAGCCAGATGCAGGGCTCAAACTCACGAACTATGAGATCCTGACCCGAGCCCAAGTCAAGAGTCAGATGCTTAACTGACTGAGCCACCCAGGCACCCCTCATAAACCTTTAATACCTTCATTTATGTCTCCCTTATAAGGTACCTAAGTGACGTCAGGAAGATCTCTAAGAACAAAAGAGCAAACTGATAAAATCACACTATTTTCACATTTCCTAAATTCCATTTCCAGTCCAAAATCCACTGTCTCACGTTAATGAGGAATCATCAACCTATAGGAGTCTTTTTACTTTGTTTTTTTTGTTGTTGTTTTTTTTTAATGTTTTATTTATTTCTAGGAGAGAGAGAGAGAGACAGCGTGAGCAGGGGAGGGTCAGAGAGAGAGGGAGTCACAGACTGAAACAGGCTCCAGGCTCTGAGCTGGCAGTCAGCACAGAGCCCAACGCGGGGCTCGAACCCACGAACTGCGAGATCATGACCTAAGCGAAAGTCGGACGCTTAACCGACTAAGCCACCCAGGTGCCCCAGGAGTGTTTTTACTTTGATCATCTTAACTTCTGACACATAAGGGAAGATCGCTAAAATCTCTTTAGTTAACTCAGGCCAAAGCCAGTTTGGCAACACTGTAGGTGTCTATGGCAAAGGTCTTGAATTTTTAAAGTTCTGAAATTTTAAATTCCTAAAATTTTAAAAGTATGTATGCATTATATTCCTAGGAGAGAGAGACAAACTGGATGACAAGTCTTTAAAACAGGTTCTGGGGAGGGGCACCTGGGTGGCTCAGTCGGTTAAGCGTCCGACTTCGGCTCAGGTCATGATCTCAAAGTTTGTGGGTTCAAGCCCCACATCGGGCTCTGTGCTGACAGCTGGGAGCCTGGAGCCTGTTTCGGAATCTGTGTCTCCCTCTCTCTCTGTCCCTATCCCACTTGTGCTCTGTCTGCGTCTCTCTCAAAAATAAACATTTAAAAATAATAATTTTAAAAATAAATAAATAAAACAGGCTCTTAGATTTAATGTAGTTATAATAAAAATTCCAACAGATTGTTTCAACTTGACGATGACCCTACAGTGAATTTGCTAGAAACACAGGTGATTACTAAAACAAAGCATACAAAAAATAATGAAAGTCCTTATAATGAATAACAGTGAGTAAAGGAAGATCGAAATACATATGCATACCTATATTTCAATATATAGAGAGATGGAACAAGATGTCAACAAGTGTACAGAACCAAAATATCCAAGAAAATCCCTATTACATCAAAGAATTTAATATAGGACCTGAAAATAATAAAACCTAAGAGCATCACAAATCAAAGGAAATAAAGCACTCAGAAATCAACTTCAAAGAAATGTAGGGCCTATATTTAGAAAACTTAAAAACCTTACTTCAGAGACAAAAAAAGAAGGTATAAAAATAAGGAAAGCTACTTCTAAAGCTCCTGAATGGGCCAGTCAATGTTTTCAGTGTTTAATTCTTCCCCAAATTAATTCATAAATTTAAAGAAATTTTTGTCAAAAACTCCAATGCAATTTCTTGTGAAGTTGGACAAAATGGTCCCTAAGTTAATTCTGTAGACAACAAACATTTTGAGGTTCAGAAAAAAACAAAGGAAGAAGAAAAGAAATATGGAGAGCTCTGACCTACTTGATAATAAAAAGCTGCAGCTATTAAAATGATAGGCAGGAATAAACACAGAAATCCGGAACAGAACAGAGGACAAAGATAGACTTAAGTAGAGACGAAAATGTGGCATTTCCAGTCAGCAGAAAAGGGATGAAGTCTTTGATAAATGCCATTAGGAATAGTCGGCTAATCAGAAAAAAAGTTATGTTACATCCCCATCTCACACCAAATTAAGTTCCAGAAGTGTTATTAATGTTAAAGTAAAAGCAAAGGAAACTATAAAAGCCCCAGAAGAAAATACAGATGAGTATTTAAATATTCCTGTGGCAGAGAAGCCTAAAGTGACATCAAAGGCAGAAACCATAAAGGAAATAGTTGATACTTTAATCACATAAATGGCAAGTTGAAATTCATCAGTAACTAACAGAATATTAAGGCAAATTTCAAATAGAGTAAAACTATATACACAGAGGTTAATACACTTTACATAAAGTATTCTTGAGGGGCGCCTGGATAGCTCAGTTGGTTGGGCGGCTGACTTTGGCTCAGGTCATGATCTCACGGTTCGTGGGTTCAAGCCCCGCGTCGGGCTCTATGCTAACTGCCAGCTCAGAGCCTGAAGCCTGCTTCAGATTCTGTGTCTCCCTCTCTCTGACCCTCCCCCTATTCACGCTGTCTCTCTCTCTCTCTCAGAAATAAATAAAACATTAAAAATTAAAAAAAAAAAACATATTCTTGAAAATCATATAAAAAAGTCCAAAGAAAAATTGGCATAACACATGGCATTAGTCAATTTTGCTGCACACCAAACAACCCTGAGATCTTAGTGACTTACAAAACACTTATTGATTTCTCCCTCGTATGTGGGGCAGTTGTGAGTCATTCCAGGACCCAGACTGAAGGAGAAACTCCTACACAGGGCAGACAGTTCTCAAGGCAGAGAGCAGAAGCACCAAAGAGACAGAGACAGATCGTGTCATGGCACTGAAAATTTCTGCTTCAACAAGGTACATTCACTAATGTCTCCTAGGGAAAAACTAATCACGTGGCCAAATAAGGTGACCAATCTCTCGGGTTTACCCAGGACTAATATTGGGTTCCCAGGGTTTAGACTTTCAGTTTCAAAATCACGAAAGCTCCAAGCAAACCTGGATGAGTTAACCACCGTACATGACCAGAGTCCAAAGTCAATGGAACAAGGAAATTTACTCCACAGAAGGAAGCTGGGTAACACTTTCAAACAAAAATATAATCTACCATCGACTTGCATAAGTCATTCCACAGACAAAATGAAAATCAAAGAAATCTAAATTAGAACAATGAGATACCTTTTTTTGTTTTCTGGGTTTCTCTCAGGTCAGTAAAGTTTAAAAAGAATGATATTCAGCAGGGATATTAAAAAAAAAAAAAAACAGGCCTCATGCAATTGATGTGTATATAAATTAGGCAGATACACAGCCTTCATCAGAAAATTCTTGGAAACAAGATGGAAGTTGAAATTTGAAGTTCTTCAGGTTATGGAAAGGTGATATAGAAAACTTTCCATATATTAGAAAACACTTCGAATGCAAACACATCCCAAGTGAAATAAAGAACTGAACACATTCCAGGGGCACCTGGGTGGCTCAATCAGTTAAGCAGCTGACTCTGGATTTCAGCTCAGGTCATGATCGAGCCCCACATCAGGCTCTGTGCTAACAGTGTGGAACTTGCTTGGGATTTTCTCTCAATCTCTCTCTCTCTCTCTCTCTCTCTCAAAATAAGTAAATAAACCTTATTTTTTAAAAAAAGAATCACAAACACATTCCAAGTAAAGACTAGAAATAGTCACAGCTTATGAAGATTTTTCAATTTTCTAAACTTTTGAAAAAAAACTACAAATAGCCACAAACTTATGAAGAATTCTAATTTTTCAGAACTTTTTGGATTTTAGAGTTATACATAGGGATCATGAACCTAAAAACCTTCGGTAGTATACACTATACGTCAAAAGCCTAAAAAGCATACGTGACATCAAAAATTCTGCACATAGGTATTTATGTTTAAAAACATAAGATTTCAAGATTTCCATCACAGTGTTGTTTATAATATCAATACACTGGAGGGGTGTCTCGGTGGCTCAGCTGGTTGAGCATCTGACTTCAGCTCAGGTCATGATCTCACGGTTCGTGGGTTCAAGCCCCGCGTCAGGCTCTGTGAGCCTGGAGCCTGTTTCAGATTCTGTGAATCTGTTTCAGATTCTCCCTCTCTCTCTGACCCTCCCCTGCTCATGCTGTCTCTCTCTCAGAAATAAATAAAACATTACCAAAAAAAATGTTTTTAATATCAATACACTGGAAATTATTTCCTATTATTGTACAGGTTGTGGGTGGCCTGTAAGAGTAAAAAAAAGAGTAAAAAAAAGATTCAATTCATTTGAAGTTCAAAAAAAAGGCAAAAGTAATGTCTGGAGTCAATCCTTACTATATGTCGAAGAGTTGGGAGAACATTGATTAAGGAAGCATTTTCCTAATTGTTGAGAAATAACTCCGTTAATGCTCATCTATCCCTACTAGTAGGTTGCACAGTATATTATGCAACATGCAGCGTATCATGTAGGGCGTAATAAAAACAAGATGAAAAGTAAAAGCAAAAAAGAATAAATAAGTTAAAAAGAATGAGCAAAAGTAATCTATAGTGTTAGAAGACAGGAGAGCAGTCACTTTGGTGGTTTCCGGTGGGGAAAGATGGGAAGGGGCAAAGGGGGTTTTCTGTTTCTTGACCTGGGGGCCGGCTACATAGTATGTTCATCTTATCGAGTGGTACACTTATGGTCTATGCACTTTCCTGCTTGCATGTAAAAAGTTTAAAAAGAAGGTGCCTAGAGGCTCCTGAGTAGCTCAGTCGGTTAAGCATCCGACATGGGCCCAGGTCATGATCTCCCAGCTCATGGGAGTTTGAGCCCCTCAGCCGGCTCTGCTGTCCACACAGAGCCCACTTTGGATCCTCTGTCACCCTCTCTCTCTCTCTGCCCCTCCCATGCTCATGCATGCCCTCTCCCTCAAAAATAAAAACTAAAATGTATGTAAGTGCTAATACCTTTTAAAAAGTAGTTGGCATATATATTAAAATGTCAACGTTAAGAATAGTCACTCCAGCGCCTGAGTGGCTCAGTCGATTAAGCGTCTGACTTCAGCTCAGGTCATGACCTCACGGTCTGTGAGTTCAAGCCCCATGTCCAGTTCTGTGCTGACAGCTCAGAGCCTGGAGCCTGCTTCAGATTCTGTCTCCCTCTCTCTCTGCCTCTCTCCTGCTCACGTGCCCTCTCTCTCAAAAATAAATAAACATTGAATAATAATAATAATAGTTACTCCAAGTGGTGGGAAATGGATTATTTTTGTTTTCTTCATGCCATTCTATACTGTCAATGTAACTGTCAATATGATCTGCCGGGAACCGCACCGGCCTCTCTGGATGGCGGTCACAGCAAGGAAATGGCAGTGTTTGCAGCTCCTGCCATGAGAAATGAAAACTGGTATCTCCTTCTGCTACTACTGGCTCATGTTGGAAATGAGGCTGCTGGTATTGACCAGGCCTCACGATATTCCGTATCAGACCCATATTCTGAATACAGATACCTCATAAGGAAAAGCATATTCCTGCCTTTGCAAGAGAGATTTTAGATGAAAGCTCTATGGATGATCGTCAAAAGGCTCTTCCTATGGGCCTTGCAGATCCAAGACTTAGACAATAAAGGAGGTTAAAAACACAAGAGTTATAATTGAGCCTGGCCCCGAGACAAAGAGCCTAATTTAAAGTTAAGGTACAGATAAGGGCAGAACATAGTTACTACATATATCTTTGCTAATTGGTGAAGCACAGCAGTCCCTTCCTCAAGGCCTACTTTCCACAGACCCCCTCCCTTACACCGGCAGCTGGGAGGAGGATAGACAAGAGGAGCTAAAACATAAACCCAGACGCAGAGACTGACACATTTAGGGCCCCCATGGTGCTTGCACATTCAGCATCAAGGAAAAGGCTCGCTCAAGCAATTTAGGAACAAGCCTAATATACATTCCTCCTCTTGTGATTAAAAATTGTCTAGAGGCCTACCCATGCAAAATAAGAGAAGTTTGTTAGTACCTTAATCTGGGGGACTGACGTCAAGAATATGGGGAGGTTCTGCAAGAATACTTTTGTAAAGCCTGTTTCTGTACACCTTCCGCTGATCAAAGCGTCTTATTACAAATAATTAGCCTCTGTAAAAATTCTGTCTTCTGATGTCATGTTACTGTTGAACCTTTAAATAAATACATTAAAACTGACAGGACGGAGATGCCTGCCTGGTGATCAGAAAGGATCTCGGGGCTCTCTCACTCTCCCTCTCGCCGACACCGTCCATCCTTCAGGGACCCGTGGACCTGCTGGAGCCGGCCTCTGGCAATGATCCATTACTGTCTGACTTCTTCTCTTACGATGTTAAGAGAACTATATTACCTTTATGATAAAATAAAACAACATAATTTGCACTGCAAAAGGTACAATGAAAATGGTGTCCTCATACACTGTTTTTCAAAAGGGTGAACGAATGTGGAATGTCATCACCATCTGAAAAAGGTATCAACAACCATGAGAACATCCACATTTTCATAATGTATGATCCAGCAACCCTACTTCTGGAGCTCTATCCTAATGAAATTACCCCAAATACAAGAAAGAACTGCAATTTAACCCTGTGCTTTATAAGAGGGGGGAATTATTCTCTCATACCGTGCTCATAAGGTGAAAAAGTGCCTGCATCAATGTTAATATAAGGGTCAATTTTTATGGCAGTGACTCGGAGTCCACATGATTTTAGAATCGTTCCAATGCTGCTCGCAATGATGCCTTTACCAATGCCCGAGATGACCCCTCCAGTGACCAGGATGTACTTCATTGGGAGACGAGTGGCTGGGTGCCAGCACCCAGATATAATCTGAAAGATAATAAAATTAAGGGTCAGGGAAGAGAAACATATTCTCAAACCAGTGAAGCAGGAGGGAGTTAAACCAGAATTTCAAAGCAAACAGCATTTTTCCATATAAAATAAATTTTCGAAACAAAATCTTATTTTCTGGGTTTTCCATTTTTGTCGATACGCAGGAAGCTGTAGATACCTCCTGCAAGCAAAGTGGCTACCTCCGTTGCCCGGGTTTTCCATCTACCCCAACTCTGTCATGTGAAAAACTCTGTTTTTCATCATGAGAAAACAAATTTCTATGAGAGTCAGAGGCATGGTAAAAAAAAAATTTTAAGGTTTATTTATTTTGGGGAGAGAGAAACAGAGTATGAGCAGGAGGGGAGAAGCAGAGAGGAGGAGACACAGAATCCAAAGCAGGTTCCAGGCTCCGAGCTGTCAGCACAGAGCCTGACGCGAGGTTCGAACTCACAGACCGGGAGATCATGACCTGAGCCGAAGCCGGACGCTTAACCGACTGAGCCACCCAGGCGCCCTGAAAGAGACAAGGACCTGAAATCAGACTGATCTGTACACACTGTACCTGGGCAAGTTACTAATCCTTTCTGTGCCTGTTTCTTCATCTGTGAAATGGGATTAAAAAAAAAAAAAATACGAGTCCCAGGGCGCCTGCATGGCTCAGTCAATTAATCATTCAATTCTTCGTTTCAGCTCAGGTCATGATCTCATGTTTTCATGAGATTGAGCCCCACATTGGTCTCTGCACTGACAGCACAGAGCCTACTTGGGACGCTCTCTCCCTCTCTCTCCGCTCCCCCTCCACCCCCCCAGATAAATAAATAAACTTACAAAAACACACACACACACACACACCAGTTCCTTGGAACATTATTCAGCAGTAAAAAGGAATGAACTATCAATCCATGAAAATACATGGGTGAACTGCCATGTGTATTACCAAGTCAAAGAAGCCAATAGGAAAAGGCTGCATACATAATGTATGATTCCAACTATTTGACATTCTGGAAAGGGCAAACCTATGGAGACAATAAAAATATCAGTGGTTGCCTGGGTTTACAGGGAGGGAGGGATGAATAGGCAGAGCACAGAGGATCTTTAGGTCAGTGAAACTATTCTGTGTGATACTCTAATGGTGGATACACATCATTATGCATTTGTCCCAACCCACAGAATGTAAAACACCGAAAGCAAACTCCGATGTAGCCCATGGATTTTGGATGATAACGATGCATCAATGTAGGTTCCATCAGTTGTAACAAATGAACCACTCTGGTTCCAGATGTTGATAGTGGGGAAGTATGTGCCTATAGGGCAGGCAGGGAATATATGAGAACTCAGTGCTTACTGCTCGGTTTTGCTGTGAACCTAAAATTGCTCCAAAAAACTAAGTCTGTTTTTTTAAATCAATATTCAAATAAGCCAACATTTTAAAAAATCTCAGGGCACCTGGGTGGCTCAGTTGCATAAGTGTCCGACTTTGGCTCAAGTCATGATCTCATGGTTCAGAGTTCGAGCCCCGCATCAGGCTCTGTGCTGACAGCTCAGAGCCTGGAGCCTGCTTCGGATTTTGTGTTTCCAACTGTTTCTGCCCCTCTCCTGCTCACACTCTGTCTCTGTCTCTCTCAAAGATAAATAAACATTAAAAAAAATCTCATAGGTGGTTGCGAGGATGAAATGAGCTATAGATGAGAGGTCAGCTGGTGCCCATTCTGATTTTGTAATTTCCTCTACTTTCAAAACAAACAATCATGATATGAAAGGTATAAGGTTATAGCTCTGTTGAACTAGTTGACCATGGTCAAGGCAAGTAAACTGAAGCCATCCAAAATACACATGTCCTGGGGCACCTGGGTAGCTAGTCGGTTAAACGTCGTCTGACTCTCGATTTCAGCTCAGGTTATGATCTCACAGTTCGTGAGTTTGAGCCCTGCATCAGAATGTGTGCTGCTTGAGATTCTCTCTCTCCCTCTTTCTATGTTCCTCCCCCACTTCTTCTACCCACCCCCAAAATAAATTTTAAAAAGTACACACACACACACACACACACACACACACGCCCCTTCCCAAATCGCTTCCCTAAGTTCACGGACCTACCTACCTTTCTCTACATACTACAGATGATCACATTCAGTGCCATTGTTCCTCTTTCCTAGCCAGCTGGCATTCCATTGACTGCGGCTAGATTTAGCCTAAAAGATTCACAATCAGTCCAAACCCAGAATGGTCCTCCTGTGGATCCACAATACATCTAAATATTTGCTTCTTTCCACTTCCACTGGCCCAGGTAGTCATTATAGGGGTAATTTCTTCACAGCTCTCCGTTACCCACCCCCTTGTTGATTTCTTCTGTTTTATTAAGTGCCCCTCCTCTAGAGTCAGATAGCCTGGGTTCAAATGTTTTTTACAGCTATGACCCTGGGTAACTTCTTGAACTTTTTTAAACCTCAAATTTCCCTACCTGTGCCGTCCACAAAGATAATAGTAGTGCCTGTGGTATAGAGGTTTGTGGGCATTTACAAAGAGAGTGCCCAAATGCTCAACAAAAATTAGCCGTTAGCATTTTTCACAGCATTCTATTCACCATTCAATCAGCTCACAAATGCTTATTAAACGTCCATTATGCTTGACATGTTCCCAGGTCCTGGGGCTATGGGGATGAATGAAAAGGCCAGGCCCCTGCCCTCTTGGACTTCACCTTTCCTATGGGATTAAGGGGCAAGTTGAGGCCAGCACCTGTTTTGTCAGTTGAGACAAAAGAATGAATACCAGAGGTCATATCACCCCGAGGTGCAGCTGGACTAGTCAAGGAACCCGTAGGAGTGCAACTCCATTCGTGTACAAGTAATGACGTAATTACCAGGTGTATCTCATGAAATCTCCAACATAAACACAAAGTCGGATGAAGCAGCAGCCAGGCACCTGCTAGCATGATCTCATGGCATCCACCTTCTCAGGAGACCCCTGCCCCAAATCTTGCCCCCCAAAACCCTCACTTGCGAACCATTAGGGAGTTAGGGACTTTAGAGCATTAGCTCACCCTTCTCCTAGGTAGCATCACACCAGTGAATAACCTATCTTCCTTCACTGTAAAAGCTCAGTGTCCGTTTTTATTGGCTTGCTACGCATGGGGTGGACAAACTCTCTCAAATGAGAACTGCTGTAATTGTAACTTATACCGGTACTGTCACACTGTTAAAATGACTTCCTGGGGAGCCTGGGTGGCTCAGTCATTAAGCATCCCACTTCAGCTCGTCATGAACTCTCGGCTTGGGGTTACAGCCCTGTGTCCAGTTCTGTGCTGACCGCTCTGAGCCTGAAGCCTACTTCAGACTCTATGTCTCTCTCTCTCTCTCTCTCTCTCTCTCTCTCTCTCGGTCCCTACCCCATGTGTACTCTCTCTTGCAAAACTAAATAAACATTTAAAATTTTTTAATAAAAATAAATGGCTTCCTGTTTGTGAAAGTTAGCAAAATTGAAAAATGTCATTGAAAACAAGAGTACATTCATGTGAAGTCTCATTATGTGGTTGTCAAAAAGCCTAAGAATTTTTCAGAAAAATTTGCCTTATATACAAGAATATAAAATAGAATACATTATCTCAAATATATTTTTTAATTAAGACTAATCAAAACTACATCAAAAAGCTAAATTTTAAAGCTTAGGTGGTTGGGCAGTAAGCAATTGTTACTTTTTTGTATTTTCAAAGGCACAAGCTAACCCTTTTTAAGCACATCAGATATTTTACAATGTTCTTCTTGAAAATGTAACTTAATATCAAAGAGACACCTACTCCTTTCTACTTCTTGTAAGCAAGCCAGTAAGTTTGAAGCAAAGTTTTAAAACTGCAAGAAAAATCAGGCTTTTCAGGCTACGTTCTTGAATCCGTATGTTTTTCCCCCTGTGAAGACTGAAGTCTTCACTGACTCTTTTTCTTTTAATATGCAGTAAAAGGAACCAACTGTTTCTAAAACAGTAGTGTGTAGAGCTGCTGTCTGCTGTCCAATAAAAACATTACAAGGACCACCTGTGTAACTTTAAATTTCATAGTAGTAGCCAGTTAAAAAGTAAAAAGAATTAGATGAATTAATTTAACAGTATCTTATTTAACCCAATGTACCCAAAATACTATCACTTTAACATATAATCAATATCGGAATTCATTAGTGAGGTATTTTACATTCCCCCTCCCCCCATTTTTTTGGTACTAGTCTTCAAAATTTGGTATGTCTACTTCCAGCACATCTCAATTCAGACTCGCCACATTTCCAAAGCTCAAGAGCCACATGTGGCCAGTGGCTACCACCCTGGACAGTTGCAGGCCTAGATCAACTAAAAACGTCAGAAGCACCAAGACACACCTTCTCAATGACAGCCATTTAAAACGTAATATTAGTCATGAGAGCACTTCCTGACTGATCCCATTTTATTAAGTTCGAAAGCAGGCAAAACTGAGCTATTATAGAAATCAGGCAGCTGGGGGGAGTTGTGGATTGACTAGAAAGGGGCACGAGGGAACTTTCTGGGGTGATCTAAATGGTTTACGTCAAAGTTGGGGTAGTGATCACACGGGTGTATAATTTGTCAAATCCCTGATCTACACACTTAAGATGGGCGCATTTTGTTGCATGTAAATTACACATCAAATCCCTGAAAACTGCTGCAAAAAGAAAGCTATTTTGTAACAGCTGCGTACTTAGCCCTAAGCAGCTATTCTGGGGGGAAATGCTAGGGTCGTTGTTTAAGGAGTGCACTAGGCGGGGGAGGGGACAGAAAGGCCATTTCACTCCATGCGGGGCTTCACTTCCGCCAACGCCATCTCGGGGCTCTCCGGGCTCCCGAGGCCAGGGGGAAATGGGGCCCAGAGCGCAGCCGGCCCTTGCGCCCCCTTCCGAGGCCCGTGCGGGGAGAAGCGCACCCAGGGGACGCGACGCTCCCGAGCCCGGATCGCTGGGCCGCCGCACGGCAGGTTCCGACGGCACTGGGCGCTGGCAGGGCAGCCCCGGCCCCCGCCCGTCCGCCGTCCGCCGTCCGCCGGCAGTCTGCGTGCACGGGGTGCGGGGACGCGCCCGGCTGCCGGCCCCTCTCCGAATCGGCGCGGGCGCCATCGGCGAGGGGACAAAGGCACGGGCCCCACGTGCGCCCCGGGGCTGGGGATGCGGAGGCCCTGGGGGTCCGGGAAAGGTCCGGGAGGGGGGTTACCTGCGGCGGTGGTGGTGGCGCCGGGAGGGTGGCCAGTAGGGACGGCGCGCTCCGCCCCGCGGCGGGCCCGCGCTCACCTGTAGGGCTGGGGAAGGGGCCGCCGCTAGGGGTGTCCCTTGTCGCCACCGGGTCCTTCCCGCTGCCCGCGCGGGCCTCGGGGTGCGCGGCGCCCTCCTCGCCCACCTTTCCCTCTCCTGCTGCTGCCGGCCCCGCTGACTCACGCTGATGAGCTTGGGGTTTGCACCCGTGTTTGTGCAATGCTCCAAAACAAGCACCTAAAAAGTGACTCCTCAGGCACAGACAGCTTCCCGCCACCCTCCGCCCTGGATGTACTTGGCCCCAGGCCTCGTTCAGCCCGGGGACTGCTCCTCCCCTCCGTGGCTCACTTAGCAGAGGCACTTCGTAGGCGCGGGTGAACGCCACGTTCCCGGCGAGCCCCTGCCTCTAGGCAGGGCGACCCCCCCTGGCTTGGGTCTTCCCGTCCAGTTCTCACCACTGTAAGAGCTTCACGCTGTCGCCAACGTTTGCGGAACCCTGACTGCCCTCCAGGAACTGCAAATAAAACTCCTGCCTTTGTGGGGCTCGCAGTATGGAGGCAGTTCTACACGTCTATTGAAATCAATAAGTTCCTTGGGGCCCCTGGCTGGCTCAGCGGGTGGAGCGTGCGACTCTCGATCTGGGGATTGTAGGTCCCAGCCCCATGTTGGGTGTTGGAATTACTTAAAAATAAAATATTTCAGGCTCCTGGATGGCTCAGTGGTTAAGCGTGGGACTTCGGTTCAGGTCATGATCTCAGGATAGTGAGTTTCGAGCCCTGATGGTGAGTTCCAGCCCTGTGCTGACAGCTCAGAGCCTGGAACCTGGTTGGGATTCTGTGTCTCCCCCTCTCTCTGCCCCTCCCTTGCTAGCGCTCTGTCTCTTTCCCTCTCGCTCAAAAATAATAAACATTTAAGCATTCTTTAATAAAATAAAATCCTTAAAAAAACAAATCAGTAAATTTCCTCAAACGGTATTAGTGTAGGGGGGAAAAAAGCTGGTTGAGGGTGGAGGACAATGAGGGCTTCACTCAGAAACTAAGTATTTGGAGGAGGGCTGGGCTGGGAGAGGACACACGTTATTAAGCCAAAGGGAAGGACACACACCACTGAAGGAGAAAGGATCTAACTGAACAATAGAAGGGTTGGGAATTGAGATTGAAGCGCTAGGAAAGTGGTGAAAATTGTGAATAACCAGTGAGAGTCACTAGAGTGCCAAGTTAGACAAGTGTCACTGAAGACCCAGAGGAGGGGCGCCTGGGTGGCTCAGTCGGTTAAGCGTCTGACTTCAGCTCAGGTCATGATCTCACGCCCACGGTTCGTGGGTTTGAGCCCCGCATCGGGCTCTGTGTTGACAGCCAGCTCAGAGCCTGGAGCCTGTTTCAGATTCTGTACCTCCCTCTCTCTCTGACCCTCCCCTGATCACACTGTGTGTGTCTCTGTCTCAGAAATAAATAAAATACTAAAAAATTTTGAAGACCCAGAGGAGTCACAACCACTCTTGTGTAACGACGGCCAGCTATGATTTTGCCAGCTATCTACAGGTAGATCTATAAATACGAATATTTATGATTAAAGCAGTTTGTAGGCCGAGTAGAGGGAGCAGAGTGAGAGAATGTAATTGTGGTAATGCACTAAGAGTCTAGTCCACACAGGAAAGGACTGACAGCAGTGTGGAGCTGACAGACTAGGAGAAAGAAAAGAGAACTAAAGACAAAGGCCTATCGGAATGAGGCAGCTGGCACATTGTCACCAGAGTGTGGGGTTGGCATTTGAGACTTCAAAGGGAAAGTAATTCCAGGAGATGATACAGTTTAGAGTCTGACAGCTAAAACAGAGTCAAACGAGTTGGGCATCACTGAAATTGGGTCTAGCACCCACCAGGCCGGTGTGCGGGACATTGAGGGCCTTGAGCTTGGAGGAGCGGATGGAGGCCAAGGAACCAAATCTTCAGTGAATGTGGATGAGTGACCCCAAAGTGAATAGATGACAGCAACAAGGATGGCTGGAGGGTTGTATGGCAAAAATGAGACGGAGTTTCTCCCCACCAAGGATGACAGAGGAGTGTCAAGGGAGAAACAGGAAGGAGCTAGGGATGGTGATGTCAACTTCTAGAAAAATAAACAGAGGCTTCACTCAGCAGGAACCCTGTGGAAGCCCCAAGTTTTCACGAAAGCCAATAAATACATTTTTTGAAAAGGAGGAAATACCTTTGAAGGCTGGAGGCTTGAAGAGGCTTGTTGTGAACCAACACTCCCAGAAGATCCTGTGGAAAGAACACTTATGAAATGGGTTGACGTCGATGGTCATACTTTGCTGCCACATGTCAGATTTCCTTCCACATTTCAACACTTCATTCCCTTTTTATAACCAGGACAATTACTATGATCTCCCTTCTATAACGAAGAACCTGACACATGTGATGTGTCCTGACCAAAGGTACGTTAGTTAATATGAGTGGCAAAGCCACTGTAAAATGTTTGCCCCAGAAGCCAGATTCTTCACCACATGATGTGGGACCTTATTCTTACCTTAGTCTATCAATCTATGTAGCTAACAGATGAAAGCCATTTTGTGAATACAAAGGGATTATTATGATAACTATTGTATAATTAATTCAAAATGGGGGGAGGAGTTAGCAGGAAAACAGATTTGATAAGAGGGTTCAGACTGACTGATTTGGGTGGGACAAGACTATCCTCATTCAACAAGTGCCCATTCATGGCCTCCTACGAGCCTAGCAATAAGGATAAAAAAGAGATTAAAAAGAAGTTTGTCATTAAGTAGATTGCTCACGCTCTTTTACAATCTTTTTATTCTGAAGAATTCTACCTTTCAGAACTATTGTAAATCTGCCTGTGCCCTGGGGAACACAGCTTTCCCTGTGGTTTCGGGTGCTCCTGGAGATAAAGCAAAAGTCAAGCGGAGTGGGCTGGGCCCCACCTCTGCTTATTGGAAGGGCCAGCACTATATTTTTCAGGTGAAGAAACTTGAAGGGCAGAAAGGACAAATAACAAGTCAAGGTTATTCATCTAGTAGATGGTGAAGTTAGAATCTTCATTCCTCTAAGCTTCTGACTGAAATTCTGGGCTCATTTCAATCATACTTGAACCAACTATCTCTTTTTAGTAAAGTGTTGACCACCTTCTTCAGGTTCTCACTGACACAGATCCTACAAGACATTGGTCCTAAGAGGTCTCTTGACTTTCAAAGCTGAGTCAATACCCAGACTCTAAAAACAGGTTGGAATGTCACGGATGCCACTGAGTTGTACATTTAAAAATAGTTAAAATGGCAGATTTTGTTATATACGTTTTACTACAATTTAAAAACTTAATAGTGTAATATACAAAAAACTATTGAATTGTACACTTTAAACACACTAATTACATGGTATGTGAATTATATCTCAATAAAGCTGTTGGGGCTTATTTAGCTAAAGTCCCTGTTGGGGCTTATTTAGCTAAAGTCCCAGACTTGAATTGTAAATATACCTCAGGCTGGAAAACAGGAAATCAGGGAAATCAGAATCATAATCTGTCATAATGTGTCCCCAGGTACTCACACAAGTCTCCGGAACTAGGTTACTCTTCGAAATGGTGGGAGGAGGAATAATGGAATGTCCTTTGCCAACGGATTGCTTGAGACTGTGCTTGTGAAATATGTTCATGAATTCTCTGGAGAGGTAGTTGTTTACTTGACTAGTTTTTTTGTTGTTGTTCATTTACATGTTATTGTGGGAAAAAATAAAGGTATAGAGCAGCATTCATAAAGTAACCACCAGCTTGGACAACTGTCAACCCGTGGACAGGTTTGTTTCATCTATATCCCTTCCATTTCCCCCCATCCTGTATTAATTGGAAGCAAATGCCAGACATCCTATCGTTTCATTGGTAAATACCTCAGTACAACTTTCTAAAAGATAAAAACTCCTTTGAATACACACAATACTACCGCCACAATTTAAAGATTAACAATCTCCATGTCCATCAACACACAAATGGATAAACAGTGATATGGGGCGCCTGGGTGGCTCAGTCAGTTAAGCATCTGATTCTTCATTTCCACTCAGGTCATGATCTCATGGTTTGTGGGTTGGAGCCGCACATCAGGCTCTGTGCTGACAATGCAGAGCCAGCTTGGGATTCTCTTTCTCTCCCTCTCTTTCTCAAAAGAAATAAACGTTTTTTAAAAAGTGGTGTATACAGGGGCGCCTGGGTGGCTTAGTGGGTTAAGCTTCCGACTTTCGCTTAGGTCATGATCTCGCGGTTCGTGGGTTCGGGCCCCGCATCGGGCTCTGTGCTGACTGCCAACTCAGAGCCTGGAGCCTGTTTCAGTCTGTGACTCCCTCTGTCTCTGACCCTCCCCTGCTCACGCTGTCTCTTTCTTTCTCTCTCCTAGAAATAAATAAAACATTAAAAAAAAAAAAGTGGTGTATACATACAATAGAATATTATTCAGGTTTTTCAACGCAGCCTTTAAAAAAATTTTTTTTATGTTTTATTTATTTCTGAGTGAGAGAGAGAGAGAGTGAGCAGGGAAGGGTCAGCGGGAGAGGGAGACACAGAATCTGAAGCAGGCTCCAGGCTCTGAGCTGTCAGCACAGAGCCTAACACGGGGCTTGAACCCACTAACTGTGAGATCATGACCTGAGCCGAAGCTGGACGCTTAACCAACTGAGCCACCCAGGCGCCCCAACTCAGCCTTTGTTTAAGACAGAATTTTTAAAAATTCTGACATGTGCCACAACATGGATGAACCTCAAGTACATTTGCTGAGTGAGATAAGCCAGTCACAAAAAGACAAATATGGTATGACTCCACTTACATGAAGTTCCTAGAGTAGTCACACTCACAGAGACAAAGTAAAATGGGGCTGTTGGGAGGGAAAAATGGGGAGTTGTTTAGTGCCTTTTGCAATTAGCAGAGCTCTGGAGATAGTTGTACAACAATGTGGAATGTACTTAATTCTACTGAACTGTACACTTAAAAATGGTTAATATGATACATTTTATGTGTATTCTACAATTAAAATTTTAATGTGACAATTCCGTAATTTCATCAACTATCCATTGCTCAAATTTCCAATTCTTATAAAAGTCATACTTTTTCTCCCAATGTTTCTTTGAAATAGGACCCAAAGAAAATCCACTGGTTGCCATGGGTTATGTCTCTAAAATCATTTCTAACCTGAAGGTTCTCTTTCCCCTCTCTTCGTTGCAGTTTATTTGAAGAAACAAGGTCATTTGACTTGTGGTTTCTCACGGCTTAGATTCTGCTGCCCACATCCCATGGGGTCCTCTAACACTTTCCTTAGTCTGTTGTATTCCCTGTAAACTGGTCGTTGCACCTAGAGGCCAATTTTGATTCGGACTCAGGGGCTAAAGACCTCCATTTCTGCGCGGACCGCCCAGCATGGCCTGACAAAGCGAGGCTGACTCAGCAGCCAAGCTGCTTACAGTGACAAAGACGCTGTTCACACGACAGGATCAGTCACCTAGAAAAGCTGGGGAAGGAGGAGAGACGACAGGGCGGGACTACGCTGGGAAAACCCTTTGTCCGTTTTCCACGCATGTCATAAAATTACTGAAATAAACAGCCCACGGAGGCGGGGCCTTTGGTGGAAGTGACGCACGCGCGGCCGGCGGCGGAGCTGCCATAGAGACGAGGAGACGGATAGACGGGCTGCTCCCGGGTCGCACTTCCGGCCATCTCCCTGGGCGACGCGGCTTGTGGAGTCACTAGCCGGCGGTGCTAGTTAGGGTCTCCGGTGACCCGGACCGCGGTGGCGGTACCGCGGGCGGGATGTTCCGGAGTTTGAGCAGTTGGTTTGGCTTGGAGCAGCCGGCGGCGGGTGGCCGGCAACCTGAGGGAGACAGGCCGCTGGAGGGAGACGCTCCACCCCAGGAGTGCTCTGAAGCGGTGACCGAGTCGGCGGAGGGGGAGCCGCAGCAAGCGGGGGACCAGGAACTCCTTCACCCAGCGAAAGGCCTCGGCAGTGAGTCTTCTCCGGCCCTCGGGACCAGAGAGTGTGGGGGTGCCCGCTCCCTCCTCTGACGCCCCGGGGCGCAGACCCGACGGTTTGGGGGGTGTGGAGTGGGTGCAAGGGTGGGGAAGGTGTGTCTGTGGGTCCTCTTGGGACGGGAGAGGTTGGTGAGGATCCGGGCAAGGCCGAAGCTTCACCTAGCAGTCAAATTCGGGGCAAGTTCCTGGTGACAGGCCACTCTTTACGAGGTGTGTAAACACTGGGAGCCAGGCCTCCCGTAAAGCGGTGTGGCTCCACGTCTGTAGGTTTGACAAGGCATCTTCGTTATTCATTTCTTCAGCTTTCATCTCCACACCCCCCACCCCCAGGACGGGGGACGTTGGGGCGCTTCAGGTGGTTGGAACAGTGCCCTTTTGCGCCTTTAGTGCAGTGCGTTGTCTGAAGTAAATTGCGGGAAGAGTTAGCGAAGGCGGCCCCCAGGCTGGTATAGGTGCAGTGGCATTATTTTTTAAAGCGGGAAAGTAGCTATCGATTGTTGTCTGTGATGCAGGTTTCAGTACGGGATGTTTTGTGGACGATTTCTCATTTAGTCTGTTAAACACCTCAGTGAGTTGGGAGAACAAGCCTAGAGTTACTGGCTCCAAGCTATGGCAAGTGGTAGACGTTTGAATCCGGGTCTGTCTAATTTGAACGGTCATACCCTTTGCGAGCCACAGTCTGGTTAGGGAGGAGAATAAAAGTAGTAGTCTTGAAAAATAAACACATAGCTCTGGTAATTCTAATTCTGGAGACCTTGGCAGGCTGAAATAATCAAAGAAGACCTCTTTGAGAAGGGGAGCCCCAAAGCAGATGGTACTACAAGTGAGAGAACTGTGGCAAAGGGAGATCTTCAATTTAGCAAGCATTTTTTAAGAAACTACTAAAAGGCAAGAAGAGCATAGGGGAGGCTGGAGCCTGAAAAGTGGAGAAACACATAGTAGAATGCGAAAGGCGCTAAACCGGTCACCTGGTTAAGTGTCTTGATTTCAGCTCAGGTCACGATCTCACAGGGCTCTGGTCCTGATCTCATGGTTTGTGAGTTCAAGCCCCAAGTCAGGCTCTATGCTGACAGCAAGGAGTCAGCTTGGGATTCTCTCTCTCTCTCTCTCTCTCTCTCTCTCTCTCTTTCTCTCTCTTTGCGCCTCCCTGGCTCATGCTGACTCTCTCTTTCTCAAAAATTAATAAATAAACATTTAAAAAAGAAAGCCTGTAACGTTCAGAACGTTTGGGGGAGAGGCAGGGAAAATAGGCCTAATCTAAAGTCATGACAGCACAGAACCTCAGCTCCAGGCCCCTAAACACTGCACAAGAGACATAAAACTAAGTGCTGTGCAACAAAATCCCTAAAGAGAGAATAACTGTTTTTCTGTGTAGAAAATTGAGGAGAAATGAGCTTGCCTTATTCAAAATATGTGAGATGAATTGGACTAGAACTAGAAAGGCTATGTTAAGTAGTTGAGATGGATACAAGTGGGACCATGTTAGGAAAAGCAGGGTATGGATGTTTACTCCATTTCATACAACACAGAGAACCATTTTCATTGCTCTTCAGGGAACTATCAAAAGTCGCTTCTGAGGCACCTGGGTGGTTCAGTCGGTTAAGCATACGACTTGGGCTCAGGTCATGATCTCAAGGTTCATGAGTTCTAGCCCCACATTGGGCTCTGTGCTGTCAGTGCAGAGCTAGCTTTGAATCCTGTCTCCCTCTCTCTCTGCCCTTCCCCCACACACTCTCAAAAATAAATATTTAAAAAAAAAATTTTTTTTTTTTTTTTTTTAAGTAATCTCTACATCCAGTTTGGGGCTTGAACCCACAACTCTGAGATCAAGAGTCACATGCTGGGGACACCTGAGTGGTTCAGTCAGTTAAGCGTCCGACTCTTGTACCCAAGGGATACAGGAGTGCTGATACACAGGGGGACATGTGCCCCAATGTTTATAGCAGCGCTGTCAACAATAGCCAAATTATAGAAAGAGCCTAAATGTCCATCAACTGAGGAATGGATAAAGAAAGATATGGTTTATATATACAGTGGAATACTACTTGGCAATGAGAAAGAGTGAAATCATGCCATTTGCAGCAATGTGGATGAAACTGGAGGGTATTAAGCTAAGTGAAATAAGTCAGTCAGAGAAAGACAGATACCATATGTTTTCATTCATTCTCAATGTGGAACTTGAGAAACTTAACAGAAGACCATGGGGGAGGGGAAGGGGAAAAAAGAATAGTTACAAACAGAGAAGGAGGGAGGCAAATCATAAGAGACTCTTAAATACAGAGAACAAACTAAGGGTGGATGGGGAGAGGGAAAGTGGGTGATGGGCATGGAGGAGGGCACTTGTTGGGATAAGCACTGGGTATTATATGGAAGCCAATTTGACAATAAATTATATTTAAAAAAACAGTGAGGGCTTTATCATCAATTTGAAAATTTGTATTTAGTAACAAATACCTGAATATTATAAAATAGATTTATTTTCAATATGGATGTCTACTTTGCCCCCATCTCTTTCTTTCCTCACCAGACTCTTGGTGTTTCGGGAAGCTAGGGTTAGATGGAAGTACTACCATGAACCTACTTAAGTGGAAGTCAGGCTCAGAGATATTTTAATTTCAGGTTTTTTTTTTTTTTAATTTTATTTATTTTGAGAGAGAAAGAGTCGGGGAGAGGCAGAGAGAGAATCCCAACTTCCCCACTCACATACACATTGCAAATGTAGTTTCCAAATAAGTGAGAGCTCTTTTGGTTCTGATATTTATGTAATTTTAAAAACATATAGGGGTGTCTGGGTGGCTCAGTCAGTTAAGCGTCTGACTTTGGCTCAGGCCATGATCTCCAGGTTTGTGGGATCCAGCAAAGAGCCTGCTTAGGATTTTCTCTCCCTCTTTCTGCCCCTTCCCCACTCTCTTTGTCTTTCTGTCTCAAATAAATAATTTTTTTTTAAAAACCTGAAGTTAAGCACCTCTGAGCCTGACAGCCTCTGAATAGATTCATTTCTTTAGCCTTTTAAAGAAACCAGGACCTCTGGGGCACCTGGGTGGCTCAGTCGGTTAAGCATCCGACTTCGGCTCAGGTCAGATCTCACAGTTCATGGGTTTGAGCCCCGCATCAGGCTTTGTGCTGACAGCTCAGAGCCTGGATCCTGTTTCAGATTCTGTGTCTCCCTCTCTCTGACCCTCCCCTACTCTCTCTCTCTCTCTCAGAAATAAATAAAACATTAAAAAAAATTTAAGTCTGAGAGGTAGGAATGAGAAGGAAAATGAAAAGGATTTCCTAATTAGAGGGGATAACAGTAATGATTGGCTACCTTTTGAAGTCACGTTCTCCCCATCCCTAGAAGTGGGGCTACCTGGATAAGAGGTTCAGTTAGGTAACCTCTAAAGTCCTCCAACATGAAGGTTCTAAAATTGTATGAAATACAGTATTTTTGAAAAATTAGCCAGCCCCTTCTTAAGGTTAATTTTCTAAGGCTTTGCCTTAAAAACCACTCTCTGCTCATTTTCTTTCCAATTCTAGCAGCAAGCCTTAAACTGTACCTTCTTCTCTTTATTCTGATGAATTTAATGCTTTTTCTGACCTTTGAGAACCTTCCCACTTTCCCTTATCTTTATCATTCCATTCAGTTCTGCAAGCCTTGTCAGGTGCTCATCTGACATGAGACAGTGTGGATTTGGAGCACAAGCTTGCCAGTTAGAAGCAGGTGGCCTGTGTTTAAGTTTTCTGCACTGTTGTCTTTATTGTGATATCATTTGCAAATTACAGAAAGTTCAGCTACAAATTACAGAAAATCCAACAAACAGGCTTAATAAGACCACCTTGATTGTGTCAGAAATCCCTAAGACCACTCCCAGGTTTGATGAGCACCCACCAAAATTGGGCTTGTTTTGGTAAGGAGGAAGGGAATAGGTATTGGCTAAGCCATCAGCAGAGTCTGCTGCTATCTTAATGGGCAAATCATTTATTGTCTGTGAGCCTTGGCTTACCGATGTGTAAACTGGGCAGATTATACCTATTCTTCCCAGGATGATAGTGAGACTAAAATGACATAATGAAAATGAAGGTAAAATGACTACTTTCAGTAGTTCGAAATTTGCCCCCTCCTTTAATAAGGCTCACTTATTTCTTGCTCACTGAAACACATTTTACTTAGTCTTCCTTTTCTTTGGTGGCTGCTTCAGTTCCGACCTTCTCTTTCTGCCTGTGTTCCTGAAGTGGACGTTGTACTGCTATTACTTCCTGTTAACTCTTATCTTTGTCTCAACTTTTCCTAACCATGCAATTAAAACTGCCTTTAACTTGGTGTCAGCTGATATATTAATTTGCAAAGTTAATAAGCCACTTGTCATCTTTATGAGCTTTCTTGCCTGAAAATCTCCCATCATGCTTTCCCATGCCCCACTCCCTCTGACTTCACAATCCAGACCACTCTCTAATTACTCCCTTCTCTGAGTGCCTCTGTTTAATGATTATTCTTGCTCTTCTTGTCTTTGAGCCTTTTATTTGGTTGGAAATGGTCATTCCTTGAGGGCGAGAACTATACTTTCTCCAATGTTCTCTGTGTTCAGTGTACTCACCCATGGGGTCATTAAAATCTGAGAATTGAGATGATTATGCTAACATACCAGTTTTTATTTATTTATGTATTTTAAATGTTTATTTTGGAAAGAACATGCAGGCAGCTGAGGGGCCGAGAGAAGGGGAGAGAAGATCTGAAGCAGGCTCTGCACTGGCAGCAGCAAGCCCAATGCAGGGCTCAAACTCACCAAACACGAGATCACAACCTGAGCCAAAGTCAGACATTCAACTGACTGAGCCACCCAGGTACCCCTAAAATGCCAGTTTTTAAATGGCAGTCCTCCTTAGAATAGAAATGATTTTTTTTAAGTTTTATTTATTTTGAGAGAGAGAACGAGAGAGTGTGCCCATTGAGGAGGGGCAGAGAGAGAGGGGGAGAGAATCTCAAGCAGGCTCTGCACTGCCAATGCAGAGCCTGATGCCGGGATGTCAGGCTCAAACTCATGAACTGTGAGATCAAGACCTTAGTCGAGGGGTGCCTGGGTGGATCAGTCAGCTAAGCATCTGACTTCAGCTCATGTCATGATCTCACAGTTTGTGAATTTGTGCCCCACATCAGGCTCTGTGTTGACAGCTCAGAGCCTGGAGCCTACTTCGGATTCTCTGTCTCCTCTCTCTCTGCCCCTCCCCTGTTCATGCTCTGTCTGTCTCTGTCTCTCTCAAAAAATATTTAAAAATTAAAAAAAAAAAAAAGACCTTAGTTGAAACCAAGAATCAAACACTCAATCAACTGAGCCATCCAAGTGCCCCATAAAAATGATAATTCTGATGAAAAACATTTTCCTGCGGCCATCTAGATGGCTCAGTCAGTTGAGTCGGTTGACTTCGGCTCAGGTCAAGATCTCACAGTTTGTGAGTTCGATCCCTGTGTTGGGCTCTGTGCTGACAGCTCAGAGCCTGGAGCCTGCTTCAGATTCTGTGTCTCCCTCTTTCTCTCCAAAATAAATAAACATTAAAAAAAAAAAAATTTCCTGAGAGAAAATCTTAGCCGACTGAGCCACTCAGGCACCTCCTGAGAGAAAATCTAAGAGGAACCCTGCTCTTTTAGAACTTTAGATTTCTTTGACTATCTGCAAAGAATATTTCTACAAAATAATCTGGCTGTCTACCCAATTTATTGTACCACCCTGTGTAAATAGACTAGTCATAACCAAACAGAAATGAGGGACTTCCCTAAAACCCTTCCCTAAAACTTACTATGTTGCTCCCCATTTGTCCATTCAACAAGGACTTATCGGCCACTCACTGGGGATACAGTGACAAATCAAACAGCCTTGGTCCCTGCCCCAGTGGGACTTAGAATGGGCCCTGAATCCATCTAACTGAGAAGATAGATCCACCAAGTAATCAATACAGTGTCGTGAATATTGTTGGTTGGGCAACACAGTTGCTGAGGGGACACATCTCAGGAGCTCCTACTGCAGTCAAGGAGCCAGGGAACATTTCCTGAGAAGTGATATGTAAGCGAGACCCACAGTATATGCAGAGTTAAGCTAGATAAAAGGAGAGCAGATAAAGGTGTTTCAGACCAAGGAATAATTTATCTGAAACCTCCTTGATATTCAAGAATTTCTTGGCATCATATGAATGTAGAATAGGAGGGGGAAGAATGACAAGGAGACCATAGGCAAGTAGTGTCCCGTTTTATAGTCACAGTGGGGTATTGACGTCATTGACAGGTGAATGCCACCAGACACAGTGGGAGAAAGTAGACTTTTTATGGTAAAGGCTATGGAAAGTAGAGGAGAAGGTCATTCAGATTGAGAGATAGTACTGCTCCTCCCAGATAATGAGACAAGTTGCCTGATTCTTTGGAATTGATACCAGCCACCAGTGAGGATTTAATCTAGTGTGCCAAGCTCCCTTTGCCATTCTTTTTTTTTTTTTTAATGTTTTATTTATTTCTGAGAGACAGACAGACAGACAATGTGAGCAGGGAAGGGTCAGCAGGAGAGGGAGACACAGAATCTGAAGCAGGCTCCAGGCTCTGAGCTAGCTGTCAGCACAGAGCCCGACGCGGGGCTCGAACCCACGAATCGTGAGATCACAACCTGAAGTCAGACGCTTAACTGACTGAGCCACCCAGGCGCCCCTCCCTTTACCATTCTTATCTGGGTTTTCTCCTTGAGTGTTGTGAGAGTCAACCCACCTGCCCCTCAGCAGGTACAAGTAGCAGAGGCAAGAGTGCCCTAACTTACGGAGTATCTCCCACTAGATGAGATTGCAAGGCAGTGGTTCAGGAGCATCCCCCAGTGAGTCCAGCTTCAGGACCTGCCTGAAGTTGCTTCCTGCAGCCTACATTGTATACAATGTGTACGAAATGATATTTGTCTACATACAGGCTTTTATGTTATAGTTGCAATGGAACCTTGATACATAATGTCTTTTCAGGTCTTCAGGAAAGTTAGTTTTGTGCTTTTGTAAAGGTGAAAGTTTGTGTGTTCCAGTTTTAATTTTATTCTACATATTTGCTCATTATTATTAGCTAAGAAGGATTTATATTTATATTCAGGCTTGCCAATATTTCTTTTTATTAAAAATTCCCCCCAGATTTATCACAGGATGGGTTAATCTAGGGAAGGAGGGATTTTTTTCTTTGAGGAAGAGGGAAGGAGAAAATAAAATAGGAGGTTTAGGGTCTAGAAAGTAAGGAAAGTAAAAAGGAGCTTTGATCTTATTTGTGAGGTTGGAAGGGAGATAACTTGCTGCGGTAAGTTAGAACAAGAGACTGGAGAAGGGCAAGACAAGTCTGAAACAGCTACTAGGGGAGAACGGGAATATGCTTAACACTCTTTGCAAGAGATGAATTAAAGGCGTGGGATGGATGGCCGGCCAGTCCACCCAAAAGGTGGGATACTGTCAGTGCTTCTTATTTCATGTCCTAATTAACCAGAAACTTGCCCTATAGTTTAAGATTCGCATGAGAGTTCTTTAAGGGAATAATCACAAATATAATAACCATTGTACTTGAATGGTGCATAGACTCTCTTTTATTCTTTACAGACTATCTATTTAGCTTTGCAACTGCTGCTACAAAAAAGATAACTGAATCAGTTGCTGAAACAGCACAAACAATAAAGAAGTCAGTAGAAGAAGGAAAAATAGATAACATCATTGATAAGGTACATTTCAACATCTTTTCACATTGATTAGCAGCTAAATGTAATCATCCCTTCTTTTTATGAACTTCATTAACCCAAGTAGGATATCATATTCTGATAAAAATATTAATTGTTGAGACTCTTGGGATTTTTTTCCCCTCTTTTTGTATAAGAAGTGGCTATGAGTTAAGTAACCTTGGTTTTAATTTTAATATATTCTGAGATACACTGATACTTTTGCATAATACTGAACTTTTTATATTGTGAGTTTAATTTTAAACTGTAACTGTTTCCAAATATTTATGCCTTTGCATCATTAAATTTTTAAAGTCCCGTTAGGAATTACATTTTAAGATTCTTAAGGAGTGAGTTTGTTCACTTCCTGCAGTGGTAGGGTACAGGCCTAAGGAATTTCATTTATGTTGGTAATTATTTGAACTAAAAAGGTCATCAATTAAACTTTAGATAGCTTGTTATTTAGATGTTCTGTTCTGTGTACTACATGTTAGAATGAGATTTGACCTGGCTTTTATTGTTTTTTTGGAAAAAAACAAAAATTCAATTTTTAACTCATTTTATCTTTGCATTTGAAAAGATAATCCATCATAAAAGGGTTATATACTTAAAATTCAAAATTGTTGAATTGATTTTCTCTTTTTGTTGAAGAAAGGGGGAAGTATCACTTTTTTAACCTTTATATTTGAGAAAAATTAATAAAATATCTCAAATGACTTCACAAATCCTACATGTAATAAGCTTCCCAAAGTAATTTGACTCTTTATATGTTTTTTTAACAGACCATTATAGGAGATTTTCAGAAGGAACAGAAAAAATTTGTTGAGGAACAGCATACCAAAAAATCAGGTATGATACGGATTTTTATACATGACATACCTACTGGATTTTATTGAGCACTTATTAATGTGCCAGGCACTACACTAAGGCTCTGAGAATACAAAAATGTGTAAGTAACAGCCACCATCTTTCAGGCAGCACAAAGACTAGTGGGGAAGTCACTAAAAGCTCATAAACCTTTGGGGTTTAAAGGAAGGAAAGAAATTATTCCCTGTGGCTGGGGTGGAGAGTGAGATCAGCTGGTGATGGCCCCTCTGGAGAGCGGACTCTGACAGAAAGTGAGCATTCATTTCTCATCTTATAACGTGGCCAGCACAGTGTGTGATACACACATAATTGGCACTTAGCAAAAGTTGGCTCCCTTCCCATTCTCTTCAGGAGATAAGAATGAAAGAGCCTTCCAGAGGACTGACAGAGAGCTGCAAAAAGTCATGCATGTTTGAGGAAGTTAATACATTTCATTACCGACAAGTGCTTGTTTAAATGTTTGCAGTTACAGGATCTCAGAATGTCTACTTTTACCGTTTAGATGTGCTCAGACACAAAACTGGCCTCTTGTCTTTGAATCTGGCAAAAGGGTAAAATAATTCCATCAGTTCGAGCAGTGCCAGAAATTCAAAAAGAGCTACTTAGTCTTGTGACGGGTCAGGCATTGAAGTACCTAGTTAAACTCAAAGTGTAAAGCAGCTTTGGGGACAAATAATCTTTACAAATTAGTTTACCTTAGGGGAGCAGTAAAAGTGACCCTGGCTTGGAGACTTGGGATATGAGCTGGTCAGGGCCTCTGAGATAGGACCTTTGAGGGAGCAGGGTGAAAGGATCGGAGGCACTTTCAGTTGTGAAACCTAGAACATTTCCATCATTGCAGAAAGTTCTGTTGGTCGGCACAGCTCTAAATTAACTGAATGGGGTCCAACAGGAGCAGTTGATTCCTGTGTGAGGCGTGCATGAATAATTCCACCTACCGATACAGATTAGTGGTCAAATCGTGTAAAAACCATGAGAGTAGGTGAGCTCAGTGAGAAGTGTGTCGAGCACAGAGAGAGCTGAGCAGAGATCTAACAGTGTTGAGGGGAAGGAAGGAATGGGAGAAACTGACAGCTCCTGAGTGCCTCTTAAGTGGCAGGCACTTTATATGCAACATCTCCTTTACTAAAAGGTAGGATTGACAAGTTAATTCGCTGTAGGTTACTCAGCTGGTAAGTGATGAACCAAATCTGCCATTAAAACCAATTCCCATTTACCCAAGAGAGAGCAGCTAGGAGAGAGAAGCAACGAAAGCCCAGAGAGGGGAGAATTTCAAGGAGAGTAAGATCAGCTGAGAGGTGCATTTACAAGGACCACGGAGAAAGGCACCTTGTGAGTGCTCCATGTGCGTTTGTTCATTTAACGGTCACAGTAACTCGGAAACACTTACTCTTATCTCCATTTCGCAAAGAAGGAAACTGGGCCTAGAGAGAAAAGAACTAAGAACTGTCCACGGGTTGGACAACCAGGAGGTTGTCGATCACCCTAAAAGAGCAGTTTCAGAGGAACAGGGAGGCGGGGAGTGTCTCATCCATACCAGTAGCTTGAGCCTTGAGACGACCTCATCTGAGGGTAAGTAGCACCAGGAGAGGCCACCCATGGTGAATAGACTTAAATTGGAGGCCAGATTATTAAAGTAAATAGTGTTTTAAAGGGGCTTTAACCCCAATTTTTTAAAATATGGAAATATGTTTATTTTATCTAATATTTAACAGAATTTGGATTATAATTGCTGTCATTTGCTTGCTTAGGATGGAGCCAAAGAATGAGCCAGGTGTCTGTCTGTCTCTGTCCATCCGTATGTCCATCCACACATGCACATAACTTTTCTATCAGTTGGTATACAATAGGATGTCTCTTCCATTGGACTTTTACCACATGATAGAAAAGGGGAGGGGGTGTTTTGACAAAAAGACTAGGACACCCTGCATGTATATCTTTTGTGCTGACCTCCACCTCCACAGCCCCAGCTTGGATGCTCACTGGCTTTGTCTCCACTGTTCCGTACTTGCTGCTTCCTCTGAACACCTGCTACACACACCCAGCACTGAACTCCTAGACCAAGATCACCTCCCAGGTCTCCGCAGAAAACCCCTGGGACTCACCTCTCAGTGGCTGCCATTTGTCACCCAGCACTATAAGCCTGCTGAGTTATAATCCCCTTTTTCTTGTGAGCCCCAAAGACAATGTGTCTTTGTAGATCCCAGCCCTGTTATTTACTGGCCCTGATTTGCCCGTTTCTTTCTTTCTTTGCTTTCACTCCTGACAACCCTTTTCTCAGTTCCTAACTGCTTATCACCTTTTGTCATGAATCAAGTACAGTGACTTTTTAAACAAATTTTTATTTGGAAATAATTTCAGTTTACAGAGTAGCTGCAAGTATAAAGGGAGCACTGAGAACACCCATCCCCCCTCTCCCTAGGTTGCTGGTTTTAGTCCATCTGTCTTATCCTTTACACTCTTTCTCCCTCTGTGTGTGTCTTTCTGTTCCACTCCATGTGTGTTTCCTAAGAATTAGGGGTATTCTCTTACATAATCACCAACCAGACAGTTACCAGCTCTAGGAAAGAACATTGATACGATGTGCATATTCTAATTTTATCAATTGACCCAGGAAGGTCCTTTGTATGTTTTCCCCCTCAGTACAGCATGCATGTGTCTTAGCCTCCTTTATTTTTTTTATTTTTTTTTTTTAATGTTTTATTTATTTTTGAGAGAGAGAGAGACAGCGTGAGCAGGGGAGGGTCAGAGAGAGAGGGAGATACAGAATCTGAAACAGGCACCAGGCTCTGAGCTGGCAGTCAGCACAGAGCCCGACGCGGGGCTCAAACCCATGCACTGTGAGACATGACCTGAGCCGAAGTCAGATGCTTAACTGACTGAGCCACCCAGGCGCCCCTCTTTACCTCCTTTAATCTGCACGAATCCGGGGCCTTTGTCTTTTAGGACATTAATGTTTTCAAAGGATATTCCTTGCCCCCCGCCCGCCTCCTTTTTTGTTGTTGTTTTTTTTTTGTTTAAATAGACCTTTCGTAGTTGGGCTTTGGCTGATATTTCATGATTAGATTCAGATTATGCATTCTTGGCCGGAATACTACATAGATGATGTTGCGTCCTTCTCAGCCTACCTGGAGGCCTACAATGGATCCTCTCTTTGTCATTGGTGATCATGATTTGGGTTACTTGGTCAAGGTGTTGTCCAATTTCCTCACCATATAATTCAAGTAATTTTTTACCAAATGCGTACATGCTTTAGACTCATACCTTAAGTCTGGGCATTATGATGGATGTTCATATTTGGCGCTCATTAATAAATTGCTAAAATGACTATGTGAGAACTCATTCTTTCAAACCACGGATTGCAGTGTAACCTTTGTAACCTGTTTTACTCTTCTTTGTTATTAAAATCTTTAGAAGCAGCGGTGCCCCCATGGGTTGATAGTAATGATGAAGAAACAATTCAACAACAAATCTTGGCCTTGTCCGCTGTAAGTACCTTGTGATTCCCTGTATAGAAATACTTTCTTCCTATTATGACTTTATCCATAGAATGTTTTTCTTCTATACAGTATTTAAAATGTTTTGAGACACTAGGACTGTACACCTCAACTTCCACTGTTTTTTCCCGAGTTCCTCCCCACAAGTTTTAACTTCTTAAGTTCTTTTTTCTTAACAGAAAAGTATGATCTGTTACAGAAAACAGTTATTTCAGCCTTAAAAGGATTCTTTTATGTTATTAAGATAATCTTTTGAGATATGCTATCATACAAAGTTTCTAGATAGCATTCTAATTCATCTGAATGAAAAGACTGTATTCTAAATTCTCTTTAACTATTCTATGTATTTGAAACTGAAATAAAATTTTGTTTGCTAGCCTACAAAGATTTCTCTTGGTACTTCAAAGGGAACATAGTGATACCAGTTAACAATTGTACAGTACCTGACAGTTTGAGAAAGAACTTTTCTTACCCATTAACTCCTTTAAGCTTCACCGCACATTTATGAGGTAGGTAGAAGCTTTTATCGCCATTGTGCAGGCGTGATGACTTTGACTCCCAAATGTGACCCTCACTACTTACATGTGTCTCCACTGGGCCGTGGATTCTTACTGGGCAGAGAGACTGGCTTTGATCTCTGTCCTCAGCAGCCAGCAGCCTGTATCATAGGGCTTTGACTGTATCAGTGGTTTTCAAGCTTTGTTTTTAACCCACTCTTTTTTTTTTTTTAATATTTTTATTTCTAGGAGAGAGAGAGACAGCGTGCGCAGGGGAGGGTCAGAGAGAGAGGGAGATACAGACTCTGAAATAGGCTCCAGGCTCTGAGCTGGCAGTCAGCACAGAGCCCGACGCAGGGCTCGANTGCTCGTGCATGAGTGTGTATTTCTTCATAATAAATCCCTAGAAGTAAAATTGCTGGATTAAAAATGCATACATATTTATAAGCAAAGAAAATGTACCCAACATTTTAGTCATCAGGAAAATGCAAAATAAAACCATAGTGAGATACTTACAACTACTAAAATGTGTCAAAAAAATTTTTAACTTAGAACACTGATTGTGAGCAGGGGAGGGTCAGAGAGAGAGGGAGAAACAGACTCTGAAATAGGCTCCAGGCTCTGAGCTGGCAGTCAGCACAGAGCCCGACGCAGGGCTCGAACCCACGAACCGCGAGATCATGACCTAAGCGAAAGTCGACGCTTAACCGACTAAGCCACCCAGGCGTCCCCCTTTTTTTTTTTTTTTAACCAAGGTTATAAATGGAACTTCAGTCTAGAAAACAGACATAGAGCTGGACTTTACTTTGCTTCCATTGCTCTCCCCCAGGACATTTTAAGGTTTTTTCCTTTCCATTAGTAAACCCTTTAAAAGATTTTTTTTTTAAGTTTATTATTTATTTTGAGAGAGAGAATGCACACGCGCAAGTATAAGCAGGGGAGGGGCAGAGAGAGAGGGAGACAGATTCCAGGCAAGCTCCGCGCTGTCAGCACAGAGCCTCACACGGAGCTTGATCCCATGAACTATGAGATCATGACCTGAGCGGAAACTAAGAGTTGGACACTTAACCTACTGAGCCACCCAGGTGCCCCCCACATTAGTAAGCCCTTTAAAGGCCTGACCGACCATTACAAGTTCAGTATGAACACCATGTTGTTTGTTTACTGTGTTATGGCCACACTTGATCCGGCAACACATAATGCTTATCTCCAGAAGAGAAGGGGGACAATGAGACTGTCATTTGAGGGCAAACATCAGATAGATACTCACCAGTCAAGTGAGTCCTCATAGCTCCTCTGTCCCCCAGACCTGTTTCTGTCCTCATCTTCTCCATCTCAGAATAAGACTCCGGTTATCCACCAGTTTGTTCTAGTCACGAACCCAGGAGTCTTCCTTCAGTCACAGCCAACCCCCAGCCCGCCTGGGCCTGCCGCATCCTGACAACGCTGTGTTCCCGGCACACCTCTACACCACTTCTCCCCTGCCGCCGCCACCACGGGCCCTGTGCCATCATCTCCTGTCTTCAGAGTCCCAACTGCAGTCCTGTCCTTGCCCCTTTCCGAACAAGTTCACAGAAGCCACAGGGGCCCCATTTATCGTATAAATTCCTTTGTATCACTCTCCTACATAGAGCCTTCTAATGGCATCTCATCTCTCGTGGGCTAAGATCTAAACCCCCTCCACTGGCTTCGAAGGCTCTTGACTTTGCACTCCTCCCCTCCCTCATGCCCCGCTGCCCTGCATCCCAGTGTTCCAGCTGCTGTTTCTTTCTGGAGCACAAGCAAGCCAAGCTCTGTCCTGCTTCAGTGCCTGGTGCTTGCTGCCCACTCTCCCTGGAAGCCCATCCCGCACCGTTCCGCAAGATCTCATCTCAAAGGTCACCTCCCTCGCCACCCTCTCAGCCCTCTACCAGTCACCCCGTTTCCTAGCCTTAGCAGTCTAAACCCTTGTCTGTCTCTTCCCACTCTCCCACCCCTCAAGTGGAATGGAAATGCTCTGAAGGCAGGGAGGGGCTCCATTTGTGCTGTGCCCTACTGAGCAGGTGCGTGGTGCCTGGGGCATAGCAGGTGCTCACTGCGCGTCTGCTGAATGGATGATGCAGGGAACACTGCACACAGATGGGCCTGCAAGAGAGCCCCCAGGATGTCAGCATGACCCAGAGCTTTGAGCCATCTTCAGCTCATCCTTTATGGTGGCTACTGAATGTTTTAAGAGAGAGACTAAATTGCTATAGTAGAGAAATAAAAAAATACAGTAGGTTAAGCAAGCTGTGGCTTTCCCTCCCTCCTCCCCCCTCATGTAAGAGTCTAGAGGTAGATGGTCCACGTAGGTGTGCTTCGCTCATGAAGTCATCTAAGACCCAAGGATTTCCTGTCTTAATCCTATCCTATGCCAGCCCCTGGGGTGTTCTCTGCCTTCTCTTTGGTGAAGCCAGCTCCCATGACCATGCCTGTGCTCCAGCCTGTGGGAATTGGGTAAGAGGTTGGTGGGCATGCCAGACCGTTTGAAAGATGAGACTCAGAAATTGCACCTGTCCCTCCAGGCCTACATCCCTTTGGCAATTTAGACGCATGGCCCCTCCTAGATGCTGGGGAGCCTGGGAAATCCGGTCTCTGGCTGGGTGGCCACCTGCCCAGCTGGAACTCAAGAGTTGTGATCCTGGAAGGAAGGAAGGGAGGGAAGCAGGGATGAAAGGATGGATACTGGGAGATGGGAGGGAAGGAGAGAGGGATACTGGGAGATGATTAGCAATTTCCATTAGAGTTGCCTTAAATTCTCTGACTTGCCAAGCACTCGTTGGGACAATTCAGAGCCTATGGCAGAGTAGATCTTTAAGTTTCTTGTGCTGGGGCACCCCTCAGAGCATCACGCATAAAAAAGAAACATTGATAGTACAGTTGTCATTAGGTAGTTGTGAGAATGCAATTCAGCAAATTGTGTTTAGAACCTCCCCTGGGCCAGCCCAGTCCTGCGCCTGGAGGTGGCTGAGACCTGCCCTCCAGAGCCTGAAGGCTTGCCGGACATCTGCTACTTGAGTACACACAGCATCGCTCCCAGTGCTGAGCGCCGTTGTGCGGGACACCAACGAAGCACCAAGAAAAGGGGCGTCCCCCTGGTTTTGGAGAGGGAAGAGGATGATTTCAGGGCAGCTTCCCGGGAGTGATGACGTGGCAGTGGAGTCACGAGTCTTGGCAGGAGGGTGTGAGGATGTTTGGGGGATATGGGACAGGGTTTGACGTTCAGGTAGGGGGAGTCGTAAGCGTTTGGGTGTGGCTGGGCTGCATGGTGCAGGTGGAGGTGTGGATAAAGAGCCAGATTGTGAAGACCTTTCTGTACCATTCTGGTAAGTTTAGGTTTCATCTCAAAGGTGACAAAGGAGTCGTTGAAGGATTTTAGTGACCGGTGAAACACATGTTTGCCTTGGGACAGGGTAGAAAGTTGGTTGCTCTGGGTAGGAGAGACGGGACTGGAGATAGCTGCCCCTTCAGCGGCTGCTGTAGAATTCCAGCCAAAACCTGATGCGGCAATTTTAGACTTTGAAATTTTTACATGAGAAGGTAAGATAACTAAACTCCATTTAGTTTCAGATTTGTTCTTGCTTTATTGATGTAGGAATGGTCAAAAACCAAAAATATAGTTAAAATTTAACACGGGCAAGATAAGATGAAACCGACTTTTAGTAGCCAGTTTCTAAGATTATTTAAGTAGCCAGTATCCTAAGATTATTTTACAGTGGTTTTCACATATTGAAGGTGCTCACTGAAACAAACGTACATTCATATGATTTCGAACTATGTAATTTCAACTACTTGCATGATTGAACTTCCTGGCCTCCCACAAGGCTCTCTTCAATGGAGACCGTTAAAAAATACATGACAGGGGGTGCCTGGTGGCTCAGTTAAGTGTCCGACTCCTGCTTTCAGCACAGGTCATGATCTCAGGGGCTTCATGCTGACAGGGCAGAGCCTGTTTGGGATTCTCTCCCTCCTTCTCTCTCTGCCCCTCCCCACTCTCGTGTGCACGTGTGCACCCATGCGCACACTCGCTCTCTGAAATAAACTTTATAAAATAAAAATTAAAAAATGATAAACATATGACAGAATTGGTCATTCTCCACTCTCAAGCAGACAGGTCAATGATACTTTAATGGATTTTGTGGCTGAAATCTTGAGGAGAATTCAATATTTGTCAAATCAGTGATGCATTGTTACATATTAATTGCTTTCTATGGTTTTCCCCATGTTTCCCCCCTTTCCGTCAAAGGACAAGAGGAATTTCCTTCGTGACCCTCCAGCCGGAGTGCAGTTTAATTTTGACTTTGATCAGATGTACCCTGTTGCCCTCGTCATGCTCCGGGAGGACGAGCTGCTGAGTAGGATGAGATTTGCCCTTGTTCCTAAACTGTAAGCAGTGCGTTCCTGAGACAGAGCTGCGCTGCTCACACCGCACGTATATGTGGTTTCTGGTGGCCTTGGTCACATGCAGGGTCTCGGGGCAAAATCATGGAATGGGGGCCAAGGCAGTTTCCTGTTCTGTTTTCATGAAAATGGGCTCTGCAGCCCTTCAGCTTGTGTGCATGCATGCTTTCTCTCTCTCTCTCTCTCTCTCTCTCTCTCTCTCTCTCTCTCTCTCACTCACTCTCACTCTAACACACACACACACACACACACACACACACACACACACACACACACACACACACACACAGCCATAGAATCGGAACTGAGAGTGGGCCTAACGGGAAATTTGGGGTAGAGATAAGATGCTCTCTTTTATCCCCAGTTAGAAGCTAGAACACAGTTTCTTTTAGAAACAACCACCGTGCCGTGTCTTCCAAATAAAATTAAGGTCTCCAAGGCCCATAAGGACCTGGTCCACTGCCGTTTTCCACTCCGCTCTGCTCTCTAGTGACCGCGTTCTTGTTCTCCTTCCCACCCAAAGTTTTCCTCTGCCCGCAGGCCCTGTTCTCCTCTGAAAGTCCTGCTCGTCCTTTAGCTCTGGCGCAAGCATAATGTCTTCAGGGACACAGCCCTGACCTGGATGAGCAGGGGCCCCCCATGGTGGGTGGGTCCCTTCCCTTCCCCTCTGCCATCACGGGCTCTTCCTCCCCTTTTTTAATTCCAATTCCTTCGTTTGAATCTGTTGCATTTTTAGTCCACAGTCTGTCTAACTCTGTGAGCATTCCTTTTTTATAGCACTCTGTTCTTTTTGGATGGGTGCAGTATCTTCCTGGTCTCTGAGGACATGAAGTATAGTTTTCTTGAAATACCTTTTTGTCTCAGTGCTTTTCTTTAATCTGTGTTTGTTTTGGGCTCTGTCATTCATGTCGCAGGGTTTCCTTATCTGTCCTTCATATCTGAAGGCGCCGTGCAGAAAGGGCACTTAGTGCTGTGTGTTCCCACAGGCCTTTCGGGCAGGGTGGCTTCCTGGAGAGGACTCCTCCACCTCCTGCCTGACCCTCCCAGCCACGCCAGCTGTCTGAGTGTGGAGTGGCTCAGCTCCGGGTGAACCGTCGCTCTCTGTCGCATGGGAGCAAGGTCCCCAGCTGGCAAGGGCGGCTCAGGCATCACCCACCTTGCTGCTCCTCTGGGGCTTGCCGCCATGCCTCCTGTCTCAGCCCGACCTGCACCCAGCCTTCAGAGATGCCTGTGCCTCCTGTCCCCGGCTCTTCGGAGCGCGCCCCTGGGGACCCGGCCTGTCGTCGCCGGCCACCCTTCCTGCCTGGTTTACAGAGTAGGTTGCTGTTTGCCCATCAGCTTTCCCCCTCCCACTGTGCTTTCCTCGCCAGTTCTCTTTGGCATGCGGGTTTTATTTACTTAATTCCTTTTCTGTTATTTGAGGATGGCTAAAGTCTCATTATAAATCTAATCCTTAGACTGTGTCCAAAATAGCTATTTTGGGGGCACCTGGCTGGCATGACTCTTGATCTCAGGGTTGAGAGTTCAAGCCACATGTTGGGTGTAGATATTGCTTAAAAATAAATAGGTAGATAGCTAGCTAGATAGATAAAGTAGTTTAGTTTTTTTAGTTAAGGATATATAAAAAAAATTTATCAACTGATCTTTTTTCACTATTACGCTCACAAAATCCTGAGAGTTGGCTTTTGAACAAGTTCATATGTATATACCTGTTAGAAGCTCTTTCAGAATTTGAGGTTGTACCCATTCTGAATAACTGCCTCTTTCTGAGAGAAGAGTAGCAAAGGTCTGGGGTTCGGGAGGGCTTTGTACCTAAAGGCTCCATCAACTTGAAGACTATTGACATCATCTTGGGCCACACAGCAGACTCTCTGCCAATGCTCTCGGAATGGTCCTGAGGCCCCAAGGCAGTGGGGCATGTGGCCCGGGGTTACGCATGGCAGGCATGTGGCCAGCTGTCCACAGCGTTGGTTAGTGACAATTCTGGACACCCTCTTACTGTTGAGAGTAATTTTAGAGTCTTGAAAAGATTGGGAGAATTGGTATTTGGCAAGTAGGATTTCTGGTTTGTTGCTGGCTAGGTAAATGGTCTATTGAGTAATATAATTCCAGTTTCCTATTGCTAATTCTGTTGGGGATGATTTAGAAATTAGGGTTATCATTTTTCATAAGTCTTTATGTGTTAGAAATGCTTACTGAAATATTTGTGGATGAAAGGATGTGATATCTGGCATTGCCTTAAAATATTCCAACCCATACCCAGAGAAAGGCATGCCTGGAGGGGGGAGGGACAGACATGAAGTGTAATTGGCAAAATGCCGGTGATTGCTGGTTAGGTCACCGGTACAGGGGGCGTTTTTGTCCTAGCCTCTCTGCTTTTGTTTTTGTTGAAATTTCCATAATAAAAACATGAGCCATCACACACAAATCTAGGACTCTCGTTTTGGTCCTCTGAGACACTTTTTCTAAACAGAAGCCATCACTAACCAGGAACAATTTAGAAAACAAATCAAAACAAACCCTTGCTCTGTATTTCAAAATGCCTCCTAGCGTGTTAACACATCCCTGCAACAGCAGCGCTGACATGAGACGGGGCCCTACTTTTGCCTCACAGACGCCGTCTGAGGTCTTTACTCTGACAAAGTAGAGAAATCACAAGTCCTTTCTGGCCTTGGACTGTAACCTATGCGCATTGTTTCCCAGAGGGTAGTCACAGCCTACTAATGCCTTAAAAAAGTCATGAAAGCCTAAGTGGTTAGATGGTAGACATTTGGGAGTTGCTAACTCCCATGGTTTTCTTTATCATAGAGCCTCTCAGAACCTTTATATGTCACCTGCATTGTGACTCTCCAGAGGGTAACGTTGTTTCTGTAGTGTGCCTCTGTGACTGCTTCTTCTTCCATCAAGAGGGAGAAGGTCTGGGAAGGAAAATAGTCCAGGTGCTTAGTTGTACTGAGAGAGGGAAGATTGCCCGTAATCTGCTGTAGATTGCTAGCATACCTGTTTCATTTTAGACTTTTCATAGAGGTCAGAATTAAGAGTGACCTTGAAAACACTCAGGGAGCTCAGCTACCCATTCCATCTAACCACAATGTTAACAGTTGAAACTTCTTGAACTTAACTGGGTAAAGAGCCCCAGTTGTTTTCTTTGTTCCCCAGGTGTCTTTGTCTCTGTATCCCCTCAACATCCAGGTGCTTACTGTCTGAAAGTGAGGTATCCGAAGGGGTGTCAAGTGCTTTCTGCCTGCAGAAGAGCACACTAGAGTGAGCCTTGTGTCACTCTGATGCCGCCTAGGGTTCTGTTAGCTCTTCTGGCAGCTGCAGCATACTGTTTTCTTCTCAGGTAAACTGGTGTGTGACCTTAACCTCTCACCACCTGCCATTAAGCTGGATCTCCCTCCTGCCAAACTATTTCCAGGAGATGTTATAAGAAAAAGGGTTGTGAGACCACATGAGGTTGGGACATGCTACTTGGCACAGAGTAGGAACTTAACAAGTAAGAGGTCATTATTCCTGTGACCATCTGTGTCGGCAGATAATCTGTCTTCTTCATCCCTGAATCGCCTGGCGTGGGGTCTGATGAATGTGGCACTCGGTAAATATTGGTGGAATTAATGAAAGAAAAGATGGCCTGCATCTAGCAGCACATCATCTTCTTATCTAGCTGAGCTTGTATAGAGTTGTATTTGGCCTCAATCATTTAAAAAGCCCGTCTCCTGGCCCAGCTTCGCCATTCACAGATGTGGCAACCATGTGTCCTGATGTCTCCTGTAAGCCAAGTCCTGTCCTCAATTTTCTTAGTTCTCATGATTTTCTTCTACTCCTTCAAAACCTTTTTCAGTTATACTTTCTTAGGTTTCTCTCCATTCTAAATCCCGCATCCATCCCTTCTAGTAAACTGGGAAATAAAGGTACATTCTCCCACCCTTTTGTGACTTCTACTAGCACAGTGTTCTGGGAACACAAAACGTATGACTCCTCCAGTAGGTGTGGCCCTGCACAACTCCTTGGGTCACCAAAGCCGTTCATTGCGAGTTCAGTGACGGGGTGGGCTGGGGAGTGCATTTTATGGTTTTTGTTGAGTTGTGTTCTGCCTTCCACCCTCGAGATCTTTATTTAATTGCTCTTAGGTAAGCATAGTCATTGTTTATTATTATTATTTTTAAACAATCGCACCTTTATGTAGAAAGTTTGGAAGTATAGCATGAAAACTTTTTTCTCACTCATTTGAGACCTGATGCTCCATTACTCCTGAATGCTTTAGTGTATATTTCCTATGAATAAGGCTTCTCCTGCATAACCACGGTGTAACTACCTGAATCAGGAAATGGACGCTTATGCATTATTACCTTCTGATTCTCAAACCCCTTTCAAGTTTTGTGGGGTTTTTTTGTTTGTTTTGGGGGGTACTTTTTGAGAGAGTGAGCAGGGGAGGGGGAGAGGAGAGAGAGAGAGAATCTCAAGCAGGCTCCACGCCAAGTGCACAACTGTGAGATCATGACCTGAGCCAAAATCAATATTCAGGTGCTTAACCAACTGAGCCACCCAGGCACCACCCACCCTTTTTTTTTTTTTTTTTTTTTTTTAATTTTTTTTTCAAGCGTGGAGCTCAGACTCACAGCCCCAAGATCATGAGTCACACGCTTTTCCTGCACAGTATATTATAGTAATTTGTTTACTTTTACCTCACTAGTCCATGAGCTCCCTAAGAGCAGGTACCAGCCCTTTTTTTTTTTTTTNATCATGACCTGAGCCAAAATCAATATTCAGGTGCTTAACCAACTGAGCCACCCAGGCACCACCCACCCTTTTTTTTTTTTTTTTTTTTTAAGTAATTTCCATACCCAGCGTGGAGCTCAGACTCACAGCCCCAAGATCATGAGTCACACGCTCTACCTACTGAGCCAGCCAGGCACCCCAGCCCCATTCAAGTTTTACCATTTGTCCCAGTGTCCTCTTTAGCAGAAGGATCCAGTACAGGCTCAGATGTTGCATTTAATGTTCATGTCTCATCAGTCTCCTTCTGTCTGTTGCATCCTATCAAGTGGTGCACAGTGCCTTTTTGCACTGTCTACACTTTGGTCACTCAATGAAGGTGGTTTCTGCCAGACTTCTTGACCATAAAGTTACTTCTTTCGTCTTTGAAATTAACAAGTATTTTCTGGGGAGGTACTTTGGAACTCTCTAAAAATACTGCTTTCCTCATCAGACTTTGAATGTATTCATGTATTTATTTGTATCTGTATAGACTCATGGTCCCGTTTTATGTAATGCTTATAATCCATTACATTGCTATAATTATTTATTGTGATGCTCAAATTATCACCAGGTTGGCCAGTGGGAGCCTATTCAGGTTGACTTCTGTGTCTTTTTGACTCCTCCTCATTATTTTTTAGTGCTTCCTTACTTTCTGGTATAAGGTAGTCCAGGCTCATCTTGTTCTTTCCCTGCTGTAACCCTGGAATTGGCCATTTACCCAAAGAGCTCTGATTCATTTTAGTGGAAAATGGTGTATAGACACAAAGATCTGAGCACTTAGGCATGCTCATTGGTATTGAGCTGTCCTACTCCTTGGTCCACTCAGTGGACAGAGCTGAGGAATATTTATGTGCTCATGTATATACCCATGTGCTCATTTACGTCTCTACTAAATGAAAACCATGTATTCATAGTGCTACTTCACAACAGGGATCATTCTAGAACTTTCCCTTTCAATATTTGTCACTCCCTTCTCTGTGAGAAACTTGGTTCCCACTATCCTTAATAATTTTACTTAACTGAAGTAAAAAAAAAGAATTTTACTTAATTGATCAACCCTCTGCGTGTAAGTAGTCTTCCATTTTCACCACCACCCCCTTCCCTGCTCAGACATCCCCCTTTCCTGGCTCAGGTTGTTACTCCCCATTCTGGGCCACCCCCACGTGGACAATTACCTTACAGGATTTGGTCACCAGCACCCACTCTGCCAAGTGGTTTTCACATACAAACGAGTAACGCCCCTAAACATCTCTTCCCAACTCCACTGAAACAAATAGCCCCTGCATGCATTTGTATGTGTTGCATGCATTCTTAAATGTGTCGTTGTCTGTCTTGAAAAGCGTGAGGGAAGAAGTGTTTTGGAGGAACTACTTTTACCGCGTCTCCCTGATAAAGCAGTCAGCCCAGCTCACCGCCCTGGCCGCCCAGCAGCAGGCCGCCGGGAAGGAGGAGAAGAGCCACGACAAAGACGAAGACTTGCCAATGACAGGTATGCTGGGAGAAGACTTGACTCGGAGTAAGACAAAGAGTTACTGTAAAAATATTCTTGACTCAGAGACTCTCATGAGCTTGTCATCTTATGTGTACCAAAAATGTCATCTTCTGGAAAATTCTTTCCTGAGGAAAGACTCATTCTCCTTGCCCTCTCTCTGACCCTGCTCCTTTGTCTTCCCCCAAGCTTTCCTTTCCCTTTCCCTGTCCCTATCCCTGTCCCTGTCCCTTTCCTTTCCTTTTCTTGTTCTTCAGGGTTGTGTTTTTTTTAAATCTCTTCCTTTTTATTTCTCTCTTAGTCATTAGTCTCTCTTTCCATCTCTTTCCTGGACCTTTACCACTTAGCATATTATACTTTCTGTCCTCCCCACCGCTTTTCTTGGTTTTTCTGCCTTCCGTTCAAGCTGGCGTTCCCCTAGTGCTGTAATCTGTGGAGCAGAACTAAGCTCCATTCCACTCCGGGTCGTCAGGGTCCAGCTCAGACCGAGGCACCATCACGTTGCACATTGCAGTCTTGTTGGGACAAGTGACCCCTGGTTGCTGGGGAAATGTTTTAAGATATCAGCAATAATTGAAGATCTGCAATGGTAATTAAAATAAGACCGGTATTTTGTGTCACTTTTGTAACATTTAATGAACACCTGTGTATAGGTACTAATTACAACTGGAGACTTAACCTGTTCGTGGGATTGTAAATAATTAGGCAAAACCAGGTATCCTAAGGCACAGGCTGTACAGTCCACTAGAAAAGAACCTGACGGTGCATTTAGGGTCGGGGAAATGGGATGAGGTTGCTCTACACACTACAATTTGGCATTTTGCGTATAAATGTTAAAAAGAATCCTGGTTGTGTATTATTCTTTGCTTTTTGTTTTCACTAATTTTATTGGGAAATGCCATGTAACCACATGCTGCCTGTGTAACAAAACAGGCTTAAGACAGGGTTCAATAAAGACTATACACCTAGTAAGGTTCACAAGATAGAAATGCTGTGACTGAGCATTGCACTTTGCTTCGTGCTTTCTAGCATTCATGACAAAAGGAAAATCTGATAAATAACTGAGTTCTCATTATCCTGAAAGAAGGAGTAGAACTCTTCCTGAATTTGGCTTCAGCTAACACTGACGTCAAAATTTATTTCCTGCTTGGAAGTCTTATATGCGGGGCATCAAGTAGGATGACCTCTAAAAAATATCCCCAAAAGAAAGAGGTTGAAATGGTCTCACCTAGCTTTTTCTTAAAAGCATAACATAAAAGCTCATTTATGAAAATTACTTAGTATCGTCGTACTTGTGGATATTTTAGTTGTTACTATAATGTGTATTCAGAATTGAATCAAGCGTTTTTGTCTCTTTTATTCTCACTTCTTAGAGGCAGTACGGCCCAAAACACCACCTGTCGTAATCAAATCTCAGCTTAAAACTCAAGAGGTAATACAGTTTTACATTGTACCTAGTGGTTGATGTCTGGAAGTGAAGTAACTCTGTGTTAACGATCTCAGATCCCATTTGAAACTACTTATGAATACGGGTCTTAGCTGTTTTGGAGAAGAGAGTTCCGGCACTCGCACAGTTAGGGACCTGTGGCTGAGACCTGAGGCGATTCCCTGGCATCAGTCACTCTAGATGTGCTCTCAGGAATTGGACCTAATGACGGGAGTGACCTGAACTGAGAGAGCATAGTGGATTCAGGTGGCAGCTCATTTGCTTCCCGAGCAGCTGCGTAGGTTAGAAGCCTGGAGAACTGTGAGCATCTGACTAGTGGAGGAAGGAGATGAAAGTGAGGTTGCGCTAAATGCCACTTAGAAAACCATTCTAAGCTCGTTTGTTGCATTTCAGGATGAAGAGGAGATTTCTACCAGCCCAGGGGTTTCTGAGTTTGTCAGCGATGCCTTTGATACCTGTAACTTAAATCAGGAGGATCTAAGGAAGGAAATGGAGCAACTGGTTCTTGACAAAAAGGAGGAGGAGACAGCCGTACTAGAAGGTACCAAACTAACCAAATAGTGGTGCTCTTTTCCAGTTCCGAGGCTGATTATAGACAGCGTCATTCTGAAGCAGATCTACAGACATATTGTAACTTCTGCATCAGAATTGCTTCTCTGTTCACAGTTAGAAGGTTGACTCTAGCACGCCTGACCAGACCTCACATTCCTCTGCCTTAAGCATGCACTGGAGTGTAGAGAGGAGAGACTGAGCCCAGAGAGGTTATATGATTGGTCCAAGGCACCTCAGCCCCGAGAACATGCGGCCAGCAACGGGCCGCAAAGAGTGCGCCACCTTTCACTTAGAGACACTGCCCTCCAGCCTTCTTCTACTTGGGCTTATGCTTATATGTAGAAGATTGTGCTCCTCGCTGCTGTGTGCCACAAGAGCATTGCTCCTGGGAAGGAGCACCCTGCTTTTAAAAAACAAAAAGAATTTCGAGACAAAGTACAAGTGGAAGGAGGGGAGGCTGCTTTCTTTGGCACATCAGGGCAAATGACTGGCTTTCTATTGGATGAAAAGCAAAGGCTCGGGTTAATCATCAAATTAAGAGTGTTTCCTGAAGCCTTCTGAGATTTAAAATGCACTCAGGGAGCCAGCTGTTCACCTGGTTGCACAGAGAGCACCCGTGAGAAAACTAGCCTCCCAGAGGTGAACTGGAGCCCTGTTTGTGCGCCGCAGAGGGACTCTGGGGGAGAGACTTGAGAAGGAAGGAGGAGGGAAGAGCATCTGGGGGAAAGAGAGGGCCAGAGGGGAAGCGAAACTGTGAACTCACTAGGTGCCTCGGACCCCTCCCTTCCCCCCCCCCCCGTCTGTTTTCTAATAAACATGGCTGCTGGCCCCCTCGCCAGGACAGTGCGTACGAGCCCCATGTGTTGCAGGCAGTCGCCAGAGCAGGCTGTGCCCTGCTTCCTCTTTTGCCAGAGATGGCTGGTAGCAGAGGCCCCACAGGAAGCTGGAAGTCTCCCTGCAGCAGGATTCGTCAGGTGCTGGCTGGCTGCTCTGAGCGAACTGTTCTTTCTGAATTCCTGCCCAACTTTTAATGTGGACCACATAATATTTTTACATATATTCATTATCTTGCCCCCGCACCTAAATTGTAAGCTCTTCAAGGGAGTTACACCTTGTTCTTGTGTTCCCCACAGTACCCCACCAGTGTGGAGTCTGGCACGCAGTAAGCAGCACACCATGTCCTTTCCCTTGAGGTCCTGCTGCCAAAAAAAAAAAAAAAAATTAAAACATTTGGTTTTTGTTTTCTCTATAGCTACTAAGTTTAAGGTTTATTTTTCTGGGGGCCACATGGCTGGCTCAGTGGAGCGTGTGACCCTTGCTTGATCTCAAGCCCCATGTTGGCCATAGAGATCACTTAAAAATGTAATCAATTTTAGCTTTGCTTTTTAAATAGCTGGTTTGTTTTCTTTTTTCTTTTTTTAAATAGTTTATTGTCAAGTTGGTTTCCATATAATACCCAGTACTCATCCCCACAAGTGCCCTCCTCCATGCCGATCATCCCCCTTACCCTCCCCCCCCATACCCATCAGTCCTCAGTTCTCAGCATTCAAAAGTCTCTCATGGTTTGCCTCCCTCCCTCTCCCCCCCACTTCCCCCCTTCTTCTCCCCCACGGTCCTCCGTTAAGTTCCTCCTAATCCTCCTATACGTGCAACCAAATGGTAGCTGTCCTTCTCTGCCTGACTTACTTCGCTCACCATAACACCCTCAAGGTCCATCCATGTTGCTACACATGGCCAGATTTCATTCTTTCTCATTGCCATGTAGTATTCCATGGTATAGATAAACCACATCTTCTTGATCCATTTGTCCATTGATGGACACTTAGGCTCTTTCCATGGTTTGGCTATTGTGGAGAGTGCTGCTATGAACATTGGGGTCCATGTGCCCCTATGCATCAGCACTCCTGTATCCCTTGGGTAAATTCCTAGCAGTGCTATTGCTGGGTCATAGGGGAGCTCTATTGTTAATTTTCTGAGTTAAACTCCACACTCTTTTCCAGAGGGGCTGCACCAGTTTCCATTCCCACCAACAGTGTAGGAGGGTGCCCGTTTCTCCACATCCTCGCCAGCATCTAGAGTCCTCTGATTTGCTCATTTTAGCCACTCTGACCGGCATGAGGTGGTATCTCAGTGTGGTTTTGATTTATATTTCCCTGATGAGGAGGGATGCTGAGCATCGTTTCATGTGTCTGTTGGCCATCTGGATGTCCTCTTTGGAGAAGTGTCTGTTCAAAACTTCTGCCCATTTCTTCATTGGATTGTTTGTTTTTTGGGTGTGGAGTTTGGTGAGTTCCTTATAGATACACCACATAGCAGATACCTTACATCTACATACATACATGCGTGTACACACACACACCTATACTGAATATCCAAGCAGAAAGTTGCGGCTCTGAATCTCAGCACGGAAGAGGAACGTGAGAGCTTAGATGGAGCCCAGTGTGAGGGGCCAGGCTTCAGCCGGAGACCTCCCAACTTCAGGTTCTGGTAACTGTTGCCACTCTAGGGAGACTACTGCTAAGGTACTTTCACAGAGACTAAAGCCTGCTGATCTGCCTCCGTCTGTATGTCTGTTGCTGTCAAACTATGTGTTCTTGGGCAAGTCACTTAACCTCTCTAAGCCTCTGTTTTCCACCATGTAAAATGTGCAGGAGTGTATCTAGTCCCTGGATTGTTCTAAGGATGCAAGAAAAGAAAAAGAGTGGTGTGTAGAAGACAGCACAGCGCCCGGCTCAGTGAGTGCACAAGAAATGTTAGCTGTTTTTTCTGCCACGTAGTCCTTGATAGCAGTAAGGATTAATTTGCAACCACATAGTAATTATCAATTATCCACTCAAATATAAAGACAAGCAGAGGTTTTAATAAAGCAAAATAACACTCACACTTACAGCACTTAACAAGTTTATCTTTCTAATCCTATTTCCTTTTGGTTATTGTTAAAATTTGGTCCGCTTTTCTGGGCACACACATCAAGGAAACCTGAGATGTTAAAAGTTACCACGACAGGGACTTCCACAGGTAATTGTACTTGACCGAATTGTCACACCTAGCCTTATGAATCTTTTCCTTCTCAATTGTTTGTTTCAGAGGAGCCTGCAGATTGGGAAAAGGCACTACAACAGGAGCTGCAAGAATATGAAGTGGTGACGGAATCAGAGAAACGAGATGAAAACTGGGATAAGGAAATAGAGAAAATGCTGCAGGAGGAAAATTAGCTCTTTCCTGAAATAAAAGAATAATCTTTAACATTCTGTAACTGACGTTAAATTCTAGATGATGGCGTTCACTGAATCAGAAGGCACAAAAGATTGGCATAACTTTATGAAATTGAAAATTATTTTTTCAAGCTGAAACTTGCCTTTTCTGCTTTTAAAAAAAGTACATAGAACAGTTATTCTAATATTCAAAAAGGGATGTTTTATGTAATATTTCTTTAATAAAAATCTAGTTAGAGATGTTCACATAGTGAGGATGGATATCTTTGCCACAGAAATGCTTTTCCGTGAGGTCAGAATTATAATTTATTCTTCAGTTGTGGTTTTCTAAATATCTGTACTACTTGTTGCATTTTCATTGCTACATGTACGTTACAGTTTTTAAAGGATTGATAAGTATCGAAATGACCAAATTGTATGAAAGAATTTAAGAAGAAGCACTTTCAAGACTATTTTCTTGGTAGATATTTTCTAAAATTCCACCTAGAAGCCTAAGGATGAGATAATTACATTAATTTTAATGGTATACACATCACACAATTTGACATTGAGAAATACTTTGCAAAAACATTTATTATTCTCTGGGGCCTTTTCTTGTTTGTTTGTTTGTTTAACTATACCAAACTTAATATTGTTGCTTTCCTAAATTTCACATCACAGGTTTTTTTTTTTAGAAAGCAGGGCATTTCCTCCCTTTTATATTAATGACCTTCAAGAAGCCCATTCACCTTACAGTCTCTTGTTTTTGTGAAAATCATCACCACGTATAAATGTTTCAGCCTTGTTTGTCTTAATTAAACCGTCAGTCTTTATAAAACTGTGTTCCTCTGGGTACACCTTAGGGAACTTCACTGCTCAGTCCTGTTACACCAGCAGGCCCGTGTTCATAGAAGATGGTTATTTTAAAAGAACAAGGTGGCTGAATGTCGTAACACTCCCAAGGCATTTGCTTCCTGAAACTGTTATAATTTTCAAGGAAGCTTTATTTCATAAAAGCGAAGAGGATTATGACAATCCTTTATAGGAAAAATGTACTATTTATGTTGTTGACCCCATAAACTCAGTCCATGGTCCTCTGGCAAAGGTATAGTCAATGAGAAAACTGAGTATGCGTCCAAGCTTTGCTCTTGTTTGTAGCATGGTATACACACTTGTGAGGGAGCCAGACTGTCTCAGCTAGGATCTCTTGGGTTATAGCAATAAACTCACATAGTCTACGAAACCACTGACCCCACTATCAGGGGGTTTCCACTGCGGTGCCACAGTTGCTGATTACTGAGTTTGGATTCAGAGATTGTGATTGGCAACTTCTAAAATAATCCTACTGAAGGGAAAATTCGGTTTATAATTTGTAAATAGGGTTTTCTGGAGGGAAAGAAACACGTAAAATCTCTTTATGTAGCTGAAAATCCTGGATGTAAGCAGATCAGAGTATGATAGCACTTAGCTCTTAGTATATGCACTAAAATTCATATTGTTGAATAAATGTAAAAAAGCAAAGCTTTCAGAGAAAGTAAAAAATTAAAATGCCAATAGACATATGTTACAGTTGTTACCGTCAACTTTATATAATACTCTCACTGCATTTAAAAACAACCTGTGCACTGCTCTGTGAGAATAAAAGGATAAAATGATTTTATACACAGCATACAAATACAGTTATGCTCTATTTTTATGATTCAAATAGGAGTAAAATGTTACGCTTTTATAAATGATACAGGTAACTGAAGTGTATTCCTTTTTTTTTTTTTTAATATTTTATTTATTTTTGAGAGAGCGCAAGCAAGGGCGGGGCAGAGAGAGAGGACAGAGGATCTCAAGCAGGCTGTGCCCTGACAGCAGCAAGCCTGATGTGGGGCTTGAACTCACAAACCATGAGATTGTGACCTGAGCCGAAGTCGGATGCTCAACCAACTCAGCCACCCAGGCGCCCCTGAAATGTATTCCTTTAAAGGGAAAAATAATGTGTAACCCTGTTTGGTGGAAGATTTGTAAGTATTTATTGCATGCCTGGGGAGTAGCCAACAAGCTATACGGAGCATAAAAACGCCCAAGCTTCACAGACGCTGACATGTAAACAGACTTCTTCACACTCCTCAGAGTGTGGCTCAGGAACCAGCCGTGACCCGCCCTGGGCACTTGCTAGGGTTGCAGGGCTCGGGCCCTGCCACGGATTCGCCCAAAGCACGTGACCAAGACCTCTGGGGATTAGAATGGGCTTAAAGGGGTGCCTGGCTATTTCAGTCAGTGGAGCATGCGACTCGGGGTTGTGAGTTCCAGCCCCACGTTGAGTGTAGAGATTACTTAAAAATAAGTCTTTGGGGGAAAAAACGAGCTTTACAGTTTGAGGCACATTGGACTAACGTGCTGAGGCACTCGGCAGCCAAGGTTGTTGGTGCTTTTTCTTTTCCCTTTCCACTAGCGTCCTTGGATGATGGTATCTTTCTAGCTGGTGCTACAGATCTCTGTGCTGTTGCAGTCAGTACAGTGCCAAATAAAGAGGAACCAGGTGCCCAGGGGGACCAGGACTAATCCCGCTCAGGTATCTCTAACATCACACATTTCAGAGAAAAATGACAACACTTCAGAGCGCAGAGATCAGGCCCTCTGAGAACTTCACACGTTGCCGAGTTTTCTCTGAGGTTGTGCAACATCAAGGATTCATGTCCCCTGAAGGCTAAAAAGGATGATGGATGGCGCCGTGTATGACATGTTTATGCATGTGAAATCAAGTGAAAATAGTTGAAAAGGTAGTAGAGTATCAAACTGTCTTTAAAGCCAATTTTCGGTACATGAGTGTTGACTATGCAAGAATTCGCAGGCTGTTAATTTGTAGTCCCAGCAGTTTAGGGCAAGCAGCTAAAACCCTCTGCTGCAGCCAACTTAGTTACCATGTCAGGAAGTCCATTTGTGCAAACATGGTAACTTCTACAAAGCGGAAAATCTCAATTTGTAATTTTTGAGAAGTTAAACCAGAGACCCTTATCTTTTAGGGAATAAAGCAGCAATTATACTTGTAACTCACAGTGCTTTCAGATGCCCTACAGTAACCAAGATGGTTTTTTATGATCAAACTGTTATTACAAATAGGACTTTTAGGACATTGTAAAGGTTTACAAAAAAAAAAACAACAACCTTGTGATCACATCTAACTTGCAATACTTCACTTCCCTCTTTGACTACTTCGGTATAAAAATCAGGACTGTGAATGTGCTTCTATAATTTAAATAATTTGATACAGTTCTTTCCAGTAATAGTGAGATTTTTTTCCCTCCATTTTTAAGTAAAGATAAACCTTTTTCAGCTGTGAAAATTAGGTGTATTCAATTTTAGCAAATTTATTTTTCAGCTTCTAAAAATGTAAGTGGCAGAAACCTAGATACAGTTTATATAATCCGTTTTATTGGGGGGGAGTCCTTTTTAATAAATGATTATTTCCAGACTGTGTTGATAGGAAAATAAAATTACAAAATGCATGTTATAATACCCGAAAAAGATGGTGCTTAGAAAACTAATGAGTCGTGACAGATGATAAATATATATTCATGAAGCTTTAATCAATGCAGTTACATATTTCTGACAAATTGTCAATTGTTTATCTGGTCTTCACACTAAGGAATTTGTTCAGAGAAACCCATTTATGATTTCAGTTGTTAAACAGTTGTTAGTTTTTAACAGCATTTATTCAGTGCATTCTGATTTATTTCCAATATGAAAAAACTATATTCCACTTTGTTCTGAATAAATAAATGTCATTTTTAGTGATAATGTATAAGCTATAATGGTTTTTCCTGAATAACTAAAAATTCTATTCCAATAAGGACCTGTAAATATTTCAAAGTTACCTGGTATGTAGGCTTCTGTTGTTAGAATTAAAACTGCTGCAGGGCGCCTGGGTGGCTCAGTTGGTTAAGCATCCAACTTGAGCTCAGGTCATGATCTCATGGTTTGTGAGTTCAAGCCCCACATCAGGCTCTGTGCCGACAGCCTGGAGCCTGCTTCGGATTCTGTCTCCCTCTCTCTGCCCCTCCCCCCCCTCAAAAAAAAATTAGGAAGAAAATTAAAACTGCCTTGAGAAAGTACTGAGTTTTCAGAACACATTTCACTTTCACTGTAGACTTCTACTCAAGCGCAGTGGGTTGTCCTTCATAATAAAAAATCATTCTAACCCAGTCAGCAGTTCTTTTACTCTAAAGCTATTCCCTCCTCCACTAGTTATAGTCCATATTGATCTGTCTTGTTCTTTCCTGATAACCATGATGAGTACTGATTGTGCTTTCTGCTGGCTAGAGCTAAAACTCAACAAGGTTAGCCGGTTCTCACTAAAGCTGAGGGGAAAAAAATTAAGCCTGTGAGCTAATAAGGGCACGCGGCTGGCTCAGTTGGGGAGAGCATGCGACTCTTGTGATCACGAGTTTGCATCCACCTTGGCCCTAGAGCTTACTTAAGAAAGGGGGGAAAAAAAGCCTGTGACCTAATAAATAGAACAGATCAATTCAATGAAATAGAGGATTTTGGTGACTACTACTGAAGTATCCACATGATAATCCTGGAAATAGCCATTAAGTACATATTATTCTTCTCTGCCATCACTTAGTGCAAAAATCCAGATGCAGCAAAATGACCACATCACTCAACACTATTAACTCTTTCATGAAGACACTGCAGGCTATAAATGTGATATGAGAACTGAGTATCCCACTACCAAATGAGTGTGGTACAAGATACAACTTGAGGGTGCCTGGCTGGCTCATTTGGAGTCTGTGGCCCTTGATCTCAGTGTCTTGAGTTCAAGCCCCACATTGGGCGTAGAGTTTACTTAAAAAAAAAAAAAAATGCCACCAGAGAAGATTAGTGTCCTTTGGTAATTGAACCAACAGAACACGTGCTTGTGGGGACGCCTGGGTGGCTCAGTAGGTTAAGGGTCCAGACTTCAGCTAAGGTCATGAACTCATGATTTGTGGGTTTGAGCCCCGCCTCAGGCTTTGTGCTGACAGCTCAGAGCCTGGAGCCTGCTTCAGATTCTGTTTCTCCCTCTCTCTCTGCCCCTCCCGCACGTATGCTGTTTCTCTCTGTCTCAAAAATAAATAAACATTAAAAAAAAATTTTTTTAAAAACCACGTGCTTATGAAATTAAGGCATGAAAACAGACACTATTAAATCTGACAACACACAAAAGTAATTTCATAACAAGAACCTAGGATGTAGGCCTTAGAGTCCGAAGTACCACACTTTTAGAACCAACTAGGGGCACCTGGGTGGCTCAGTCGGTTAAGCGTCCGACTTCGGCTCAGGTCATGATCTCATGGTTCGTGGGTTTGAGCCCGCGTCGGGCTCTGTGCTGACAGCCAGCTCAGAGCCTGGAGCCTGTTTCAGATTCTATGTCTCAGAAATAAATAAAACATTAAAAAAATAAAGTTACATTCTTTAAAAAAAAAAAAAAAAAAAGAACCGGCTACGCCAGTGAATTTATTGGCCTAGGGCAGTGTCCCTGAACTTGAAAACTACCTGGGAGCTTTAAAAATGCTGATGCCCAACCCCCACCCCCAGAGAGACTAACTGGTTCAGGATGTAGCCTGGCCTTAGGGGGTTTTTTTTGTTCTGTTTTTTTTTTTTTTTTTTTTTTTTTTTTTTTTTTTTTTTTTTTTTTTTTTTTTTTTTTTTTTTTTTTTTTTTTTTTTTTTTTTTTTTTTTTTTTTTTTTTTTTTTTTTTTTGTAAATAAACTCCCTGAGTCCTTCTGAAACTCCCTGAGTCCTTCTGATGAGCAGCCCCGAATTGCAAAGCTCTGGGACTAGGGGAAAGAGGCCTGG